TTCGCACACGTGGAGGAGGCCATCTATCGTTTGTATAAGGCTGGTCTACAGGGAGACATCAAGAAGTCTAGCTTTGACGTGGAAGTCATTGACTACCTAGGGTTAGTTCTCGAAGCTGGGAAAGGCGTACGTATCGACCCAGAGAAGATCAAGGCCATCCAGAGCTGGAAGTTTGAGGACCTACGTTCGATACGCGCCGTCAAGTCCTTTTTGGGCTTGTGCAACTATGTCCGAGTCTTCTGCCACCACTCTAGCGATGCCGCCGAGCCCCTGTCCAAGCTATTGAGGAAAGGTAGTGAATTTGTAATGGGATCCGAGCAACAAGCGGCCTTTGAGAAACTGAAGAAGCTGGCCACCGAGGCCCCAGTCCTCGCCTTCTTCGTCCCCGGCCGCCCGACGCGAGTGGAAACGGATTCTTCACGCAACGCCACTGGAGGCGTGATCATGCAACAACAGCCCGACGGAGTCTGGAGACCCGTGGGCTACTCGTCGAAGAACATGACTCCGGCCGAACGTGCGTATCCGATCCAGGATCAAGAGTTGCTCGCCGTGGTCAACTGTCTCAAGGATAACGAACCTTCTCTTCTCGGCCAGGAGTTCTTCGTGGTCACGGATCATAAAGCCTTGATCTACCGGTCTACTAAGCGGTTGCTGTCAACCCGTCAGGTCCGATGGTCCGATTTCCTAGGCCAGTTTGATATCACCTTCCAGTACCGCCCGGGACAAGAAAACGTGGTTGCCGACGCTCTATCACGTAAGACCGTCGACTCACCTACGGTTAAGGCACGAGAGGAGGAAGATCGAACGTTCCCTTTGATACCAGTGGAACGTATCCAACCAGTCCTAGCGCCTATCTCCCGAGCGGTAGTGAATCCGGATATGCCTCGCGGCGCTGACCTGGTAGACCTGATCCAAGAGGAAAACGAGAAGCAGAGTCTGGGCGTAGATAACGGTCGTCTCGTGGTACCGGAAGTCACGTCCGACGGAGCGGTATATCTACGGACGGCCCTAATCCGAGAAGCCCACGAGCCGCCTATCTTCGCACACCCAGGCCAAAACAAGACTATCGCGTTCCTCAAGAAAGACTTTTGGTGGAGTACCCTCCGACAGGATGTCAAGAGGTACATCAAGAACTGCCGAAGCTGCCAGAGAAACAAGACCCGTCATGACAAGACCCCGGGCCTCTTACACCCTCTGGAGGTGCCGAATGAAGTCTGGAGCCAGGTAGTCGTCGACGGAAAAGATATGCCGAAGGATCGTCACGGCTACGACTACGTTTGGGCCTTTATTTGCAAGTTCAGCAAGATAATGGCTACGCTCCCTGGACACAAGAACGATACCGCACCGGATCTGGCAGAGCGCTTCTTCCACAAGGTATACCGTTTCTTTGGTATCCCGGCTGTCTGGATTAGCGATAATGCAGGACCGTTTATCTCGGAATTTCTGGAAGCAATTAATAAGCTGACCGGGACCAAACACCGTCACGGCAGCTCTCGCCACCCACAGACGCAAGGCGCCGTGGAGATCACCAACGCGGATCTAGACCAACGAATGAGGCCTTACCTCACCAAGTACCAAGACACCTGGAGCGAGTACCTACCGGCACTCGACTTCGCCCATAATGTGTCCTGGCATTCGAGCATCGGCATGGCCCCGTTAAAAGTCGCGTTGGGAGCCACCCCACGGAACCCCCTCTCTATTGATATCCTAGACCTCAATACCTCGACCGACCCGCAAAAGAAAGCATTACAGCTCGTCACCCAGACCAAAGAGGTACAAGACCTGGCAAGGAAGAATGCCTTAGAAGCTCAAGCGGCCCAAGCCGTCCAAGCGAACAAGAAGCGACGTCCCGTCGACTTCACCATTGGAGACTTGGTATACGTGAGCAAGAAGGGTATGAGGACAGAGGCCCCGAGTACCAAGTTGGATTCACAGTGGGCAGGACCATGGAAGATCGTGGAGGAACGAGGACATAGCTTTGTGCTGGATACTCCGCCCTATGTCAAAGGCACGAACCTCTCCCATGCAGATCGGCTACGTAAGGCTGATGACAGTCCCCTACCCCAACAGACCAGCTTACCGGAACCACCTGAGGAGATCAACGGGGAGCCAGAGTGGGAAGTTGAGAAGATTAATGCCTCTCGACTGTTTGGCCAACGAGAGACCCTACAATACCAAGTTGCCTGGAAGGGGCACGACCCCGACGATACTTGGTATAAGGCAGAGAATCTCAAGAATGCAGCTATGGCGCTAGATAGTTTTCATCGAGAATACCCCGAAGCCGCAGGACCTCCAGTGAGGCTGCGTGATTGGATAAAGGCAGTAGCAGAAGACGAATATCCGGAGGACCACGAAGAGGATAACAAGGCAGAGCACAAAGGGTACGAGGCAAGGCAAAAGAGGAAGTATACTAGAAGGCACGCTTAAATCCGCTCTTCAAAGCCACGACCACCGTCACGGCAGTCGCGGCTTGGAGGGGGGTAGTGTGAGGGCCTGGTCCTCCAGGCCTCCCAGACGCTCTGACTAATCAGACGCCAGTTGGGTGGATCCACCCGACCAGCCAGAGCCCCACCTTGAGACGCCCTGGAAGAATCTCGCGAGGGGAGGCTTTTGAGCTTCTTTTCCCTTTTCTCTTTAGTTTAGAATCTTCGTCTATAGCGCCCAATAGAGGAGTTCCGCCCTCATTCCAAGCCGGCCGTGACAGTTACGGCCAAGTCTAATAGGCCCTCGGGGCTACAGAAACTGACAGAGACATAGTTATCCTTGATACGGGCGAAGACATTCATCTTTGATATAGGCGAAGACACTCATCTTTGACATGGGCGAAGACAGTCATCTTTGATACGGGCGCTTCCAAGACCTCGTTCAACCTGAAGTGGTTTACCGTCAACGACCTGAAGTAGTTTACCGTACGCAACAAAGGCTCAGGCTTCCACAACCTGCAGCTCGGGCAGACTTCCACAACCTACACCTTGAGCAGGCATACTACTGCTCGGAAACCCCCGTCAACCTCGTGAGCCCTACCTTGCTCCCCTCGTGAGCCCTACCTTCGCTCTCCCTCGCAGGCCTCACATAGAACATGGAAGACAACAGGGTCCTTGAGAAACAGGGTCCTTGAGAAAGGAAGCAGGAAGCCCCCTGTCACGGCCAGCACCGCCAGCAGTGCGGCCAGCAGTGCGGCCCCTTTTTGGAGCTGACCCCGCCAGCAGTGCGACTCCTTTTTGGCTTACCCCGCACTAGTCCCGATGTCACGGCCAGCAGTGCGGCCCCTTTTTGGCTGACCCCGCACTAGTCCCGATGTCACAGCTAGCAGTGCAAACCTTTTTTAGAGCTGACCCCGCCAGCAGTGCGACTCCTTTTTAGCTGACCCCGCACTAGCCCCGATGTCACGGCCAGCACCGCTAGCAGTGCGACCCTCTTTGGAGCTAACCCCGCACCAGGCTGAGGCTTAGCACCTGCAAGCCTTGTGGGCCCGTGAGCTCCCCAGCTCCCAGGGCAAATGTATACAAACATGGCGTTTTGGCGGGGAAGGGAGCATCAGTGTCCCGCACCAGCAAGTCGGTGTGGTGTAGCTCCATGGCTGCGACGGCCCGCCTTACGCAGTAGGGATGTCAATGGTTGAAGGCAGTAACGAATGTGGATTTAAAGCTAAGGAAGAGAAAGGAATCTATCGCCGGGTCCGCGCAGGGCGCGGAGAAATAGGTAGTGGTGCTCAGTGCGCACAGGCCACACCCTAAGCACAATGCAGCCAATAGAATCAATCCTGTCACATGAGCCCTGTGGCGACCGTGACAATGGCCAGAGTGACAGTCTTGTTATCAGTCTGAGCCTAAATGGAGACTTGAACCATCTGACCAAAGACAGCAGTTCCTGGCCGAGGACAGCGCACTTCCAATCAAGGTAGTACAGGGGCACATTGGAAGCATTACGGCATGGAAGCATCACGGTAACTTGGTATAGAGTTAGAAGAGAAGGGGGATGGTGTAGAGTCAGGGGAAGGGGGATAGCGTAGAGTTAGAGAGGAGGGTGGATAGCGTTACTACGGGCAGTTTTGACGGCCGGGTATGTATGTAGCTGAGACCTCTACAGGAATCGGCTACGCTGTGGACGGGCAGGCCCATACTAACTAGGTGACGCAGTTTGCAGGTTTCAGCTCTGTCGTTTTCCTTGATAGCAAGCACTTGGCAGCGGCGATACGAATGTGTGCGTGTGTGGAGCTTGGCGAAACCTGGCAGCCGGGTCAAGACCGTCAACGCCCACAAAGATGGCGTGTATGGTATGAGATGAGCTGGCGTATATGGTGTGAGATGGGTTGGCCATGATCAGAAGCTCGCTCGCGGGCACCGGTGGCGATGCTGATGTCAAGATATGGGCGCTCAAAGGTCTGTAGTAAATCAAGACTCGGGAGCTCCTGAATACTCGGTTCAGAGGCTAGCAAACACAAGACAACGATCAAGACAATGACTTAACGCCGAGATAAATGCACTGAGCCAGCCTAGCCTTTCCATTTTTTCCACTGCCGTGCTATGTTGAAAGGGGTATCCCGTATTAACGCCGATATGAATGTACCGAACTAGCCTAGACTTTCCGTTTTCCATTACCAAGCCATGCAAGAAAGGGCTCTCCCATCCCAACGCCTTGACTAGCCAATTTCCTCATGCAATGCAAGAAAGGACTATCTCATCCCAACGTGTTGACCAGCTAATTTCCTTATGCCATGCAAGAACGGGGTATCCTGTCCCAACGCCAAGACCCGCCAATTTCCTCGTGCCATGCAAGAAAGGGCATCCCGTCTCAACGCCAAGACTCGCCAGTCTCCTCGTTGATTATTTGCCTTCTTTAGGCTCCTTGGGCTCCTTGTTCGAGTCCAACGACAGCCGTCCGAGGCCCACCTGGCTCCATTCCAAGTCCCACAGCCGCTCGACACTGACACCCGAGCCTCCAACGTCGTCGCCGCTGGGCTGGCCGCCATAGTTGGCGCAAAGCTCGTGGTTGTGTTCGTTCCGGGCACTGAGTCGGCGCGTCTCCTAGTCGTTCGCAATCCGAGCCAAGCCCTCCAAATCCTCACCACGGCCTTCATTTTCCTGCTCAAAGTCGCTGAGGACCTCGTCGAGCTCAGCTAAATATAGCTCCTGTCTTAGCATCTCTGTGGAGAGTACGTTAGCACCGTATAGTCGAATAGGGAGGGTCACGCGCTCCGACTCGGGCACCGGGAAGCTCCGGCTTGAGTCTGGCGGCGGGTCGTGGGGGAGGGGAGCTGACCTTGAGCGACGAGCTCTTGGGAGCGCGCCAGGGCGACGGTCAATTGTCTGTAAGGTCTAGATTAGCAATCGCGTTCTGCGTCGAGAAGGTGATTGATGAATTAAAGAGGAGAGGGCTAAATACCCAAGCTCTCCGGAGATTCCCCAGCCCTGATCCTCCATCACGTCGGCCAGGTCCTCTTGGTGTTTGTCTGTGATAGCGGGATTGGGCACTGCAATGAGAGGTGCCTGGGTCCGCTTGACCTCAAGAACGTTGCTCGAGCCTGCCGAGTTTCGCGTCAGTACAGAAAGTGTGAGATAGTTGCGAGTTCAAGTCTCTTCACCAGCGTGGGTGATGACGCATCCGGCTAGTCGGAGACCGGCTTCACCGCGGCACCGAACGTAGCAGAGGCTCATGTTTTTGGTGTACGTGAAGCTGCGAATATCGATGCCGTAGTCGTCGGGCAAGGCCTCAACCTGCTCGGCAAACCAATCGTAGTCTGGGCCGCACTGGACCTCGAGTCTTCTGAATTTGTAGTGCGCGAGTCGCTGCAGGAACTCTGGCTTAATGATCTCGGCGAGCAGCTGCCGAAAACCTGCCGTCGCGCCAACCGTCACGAAGCACAGTCGGCTTTCGTGTCGACTCATGCTACTCATGCTGCTCATGCTGTACGTGCTGCTCACGCTGCTCGTACTGCCGACGTCGTCGACTTCATAGTCTTCCGCAGCATTCTCGCGCGATTGGGGAAGGTGATAGTCGCCGTCCATCATGCTCATTTGTTGAGCGAAATAGATTTGCCTGGGGGCAAATGCGTTTCTTCTTCGTCGCTCTGAAGCACGTTGAGTGAAATGGATTTGCCTGGTAAAATATGTGTAGAAAAGTGAAATAGATGTAGAAGAGTGAAATAAATTTGGCGGGGCAACTACGTTCTTTACTCGTCACTCCAAAGCACGTTGATAAAAAACCCTTACAAGGGAAGGTTTGATAAAAAACCCTTGCAAGGGAAGGTCTGCGTATCGTAATTGGCAGAAACCGTTACCGCCCGATAACGAAAGGCGGTGAAGTGGCCAGGGGCCTGATGTTCTCGCGAAAAATGAACCAGTTTTCGCTGTTTTTCGCGAAAAGGGGTGACTTTGCAACCCCTGTTGCAAGCGCTTACGCCAAGATGTACTGCATTGGGCCCTGGTTAGTCCAACTAGCCGTAAATAGAGTTAGATTGCCAAGCCCAAGGAGACTCACCGCCTTCGTTGTTCAACGCTGGATGGTGTGTCCTTTGTCGTGGCCATTCTCTCCAGTCTGGCCAGTCCAGCTGCCAGAATGAATAAAGTCGCCATGGGAGGCTTGTTGGTTGGAAGGTCATTCTATTTGGGAGCAAATCTCTTTACAAAACAGATCACCAGCCAGCTTCACGACGTCCTCGCGCGCTCACTCGTATTCTTGTTACTTTTTATAGGCGTGGAATAGGGCCCTGTCGCCAATTTTGGCCATTTTTCGCGAAAAGAGGCCCCTGAAAAGCGAGATTTGAGTATTTGCCAAAACTCAAAAAAACAGCAGTATTCGGTCATCACGGCCCAGTTTTCTAGCTTATTGCAGTTAGCCACAGCTTGCATTAGCTCGGTACATTAGCTTCATGGGGGGTTCAGGGGTGGCGGGCGGCTTCCCATTTTTCAGGCGAAAAGTGCTGCCAAAAACGGGAAAGCGTCTCGGAAAGCACTGTCTTGGTGTAAGAGAAGGCAGATACGCCTGATCAAGGTGGTCACAATAGGAGCAACAAGCAGGGCGAGCAATGACTGGTATTGGCGTAAGACTTCAACCTGGCCTGAGCTAAAGAGGTGTGCGAAGGCCATGGTCTATATACACGTGAAAGGGGTTACGAGTCATCCTTGCGTAGCCAGGGTGGTAGTGGCGATAGTGCGTGGCCCTGTTAGCGGTGGCGATAGTGGCGACGGTGGCGAGGGTGGCCCTGGTGGCGGTGGCCATGGTGGTTACGAGGGTGGTTTCCTTACACTTGGCATGGCTGGGGTGCTCGCTTTTGGCGAAAAGCCATGAAAAATGGCCATTTTTCGCGAGAAGATCAGGGCCTAGGCACCAGGCAACTAGGCCCCCGCTACCAAAGTAGGTCACAGCTCAACATGGGTCATAAAAAGCTCAACATAGGTCGAAAAACCCCAACCCTGAAAAAGCTCAACACAGGTCATAGAGTTTGACCTATGTTGAGCCGTTATGACCCTTGTTGATCTTCTCGGTCAGCACATAGCATATGCTGAAGGTCAGCCGACTAACCTAAAGTAGAAAAGACCGGCAAGCAAGGGTAGACATCTGCAATGCACGAAAAAATTAAGAATCAAAATAATATTGCTGCACAATTATTACTCTGCTTCAGCATATGCCGAACTTAGACTCAAATCCCAATCTAATAATAACAATTCAGGAGAATTGATCCGCAATTGATGCATCACCAACCTACAGAAGAGCAATAGCCAACTTTGAGAATAGAGCCTTTAGGCGCTACGTAGCTTATGCCGATTATGAGTAGAGCCTACGCTGTCTCCCTCTCCTTGAGACGGTACCCTTAGCGATACCGGCGACAAAGAGTTTGCAGGCGATGAGGATGAGTAGGTGCTTAGGCAAAGTTTAGACAATGCGGTAGAACAATTCTGGAATGATGACGATGATCCGATTGCGGAGACAGCAGGAGAGATCGTCCGAGGGATGGGTTTTACCAAGGTGAGCTGCTCTAGCATATGCTCAATCTTGACTGACTTCAAGCAGAACACTCTTAAGGATTACGGCTGTCACGACCAGGGCAAGGCATTGAGGTTAACTCAGTCCATTGGGTGCTATCGACGAAGTTTCTAAACTGAGGGGGGAAAGAAGGAAAAGTCCGACAACGCGTCGCGTGCTCGCGAATAAGTTTTCATCTATCAGTGGAGTAGGTAGGGCCTCGAGGAGGCTTCTGATAGGCCCGGGGGTTCTGGGCGGCTCTGGCTGCTTGAGGGCCAGTTTGGTGGACGGGTCCTCACATTACCCCCTTCCAAGCTCTGAGCGCTTGGCGTTCAGGAAGCTTGAAAGAGTACTGCGGGGGCAATTCAAGTATGCCTGGTGGCATGCTTCTTCTTTGTCCTCCTTCCCGTCGCATCGTGTTCCGCCACTTCATCATCCTCATGATCGCGACTGAAAGCATCGTCTGCCGCGTCTCGTATCCATTGCTGTAATCTCACTGGCGGACCAGCAGCTTCCGGGTGTTCTTTGTGGAAGGACTCCAGCAGCAATGGAGAGTTCTTGAGATCGCCAGCTGTATACCAGGTTTCGTCGGGATCCAGGCCGACCCAAGACACTTGGTATTGGAGCTTCTTTCGTTGACCGAACAGTCGCGATGCCAGAACCTTCTCGACCTCCCACTCGGGTTCTCCATTGATCTCCACAGGGGGTTCCGGTTCTGCCCGTTGTTGAGGTAAAGGGTCCTCAGAAGCTTTTCTCAGCCTATCAGCGTGAAAGACCTTACTTCCCTTGTACCATGACGGAGTATCAAGGACGAAGCTATGGCCTTTCATGTCGACTATAGTCCAAGGTCCGGCGTTCTGGGAATCCAGCTTGGTTGTTGGTGCTTCGGTAGAGAATCCTTTCTCACTAACATATACTGAATCTCCCACACCGAAGTCAACGGGGCGACGCTTCTTATTAGCTTGAGCCTCCATTAAGGCCTGTGTGGCAATGGCGTTTTGTCTTGCCAGGTCTTGGGCTCGCTGGGTTTGCTTGACGATATCCAAGGCCTTTTTTTGCTGATCGGTAGACAGGTCTAGCTCGGGCAATGGCAGAGACAAGGGATTCCGAGGGCTGGTTCCCAACGTTACTTCCAATGGAGACATTCCAATAGCTGAATGGTAGGCTACATTGTGGGCCAGGTCCAAGGCAGGCAAGTGTTCTCGCCATTTGGTCTGGTACTTGTCCACATAAAACCTCAGCTTTTGATCCAACTCCGCATTGGTGATCTCGATACTTCCTTGCGTTTGAGGGTGTCTCGAGCTTCCGTGGCGATGTTTGGTGCCCGTGAGCTTGTTGAGGGTATCGAGGAATTCGGAGATGAAGGGTCCGGCGTTGTCGCTAATCCACTGACTAGGGACTCCCAGGAAGCGGTAAAGATGATGGTAATACCGGGTGGCTAATATCTCCGCGGTATCCGTCTTGCGTCCGGCCAGGGTGGCGATCAGCTTACTGAAACGACAGATGAAAGCCCAAACGTAGTCATAGCCTTTGTCGTCCGTTGGCATGTTCTTTCCGTCTACTACTACATGCTCCCTGTAAGGAAAAGGACACCCCAAACACCAACTGCGCGCACAGGGTGCGCGCCCACCACTTGTCACCAACTGGCTAGAACACTGCCAGCTGGCATACGCTACGCCGTGGCGCCACGACCGCAGACTGATGCCCGGGCCGAACCCCTGAGCAGGTATATAAACAATGGCCCTCGCCCATCTTCCTTTGCGAGGGCCAGGTTGAAGTCTTACACCAATACAAGTCATTGCTCCCCTACCTTCTTGCCTGCATTGTGACCACCTTGATCAGGCGTACCTACCTTCTCTTACACTCCCAAACGTGCTTTGGGATCGGCAGCAGATGGAGAAGTCCGGGAGTCTTGTCGTGTCTAACCTTGTTCCTTTGGCAGCTCTGACAGTTTCGGATGTACCGGTTGATATCGCTGTTACGGCCCTGCCACCAATATTCCTTCTTTAACAGGGCGACCGTCTTGTTCTGTCCTGCGTGAGCGAATGCCTTGGGTTCATGGGCTTCTCAAATTAGGGCAGTCCGTAGAAAGACGCTTCCGTCAGCGGTAGTCTCCGGAATAACTAACAATCCTTCTTTACGACCCAAGTTCTGCTTGGCGTTCTCGGCAATAATAACATCGACCAAATCCGCTCCACGAAGTTCTATGGAGGTCAGGGCGTTGATTGATATCGCACCGTCGTTCGGCAGCCCTTCAATCTTTTCGGGTGGGATTAAGGCGAACGTTCTGTCTTGGATTTCTCGTGCCTTGACCGTCGGGTTGTCTACGGTTTTGCGAGAGAGAGCGTCGGCGGCAACATTATCCTTGCCTAGGCGGTAACGGAAGGTGATGTCGAAATTGGCTAAGTAGTACGACCAGCGAATCTGGCGGGCGGATAGTAGTTTCTTAGTAGACCAATAGATGAGAGCTTGATGATCAGTCTGTACAAAGAACTTGGTTCCCCACAGAGCCGGTTCAAAGTCCTTCAAGGTGTTGACCACAGCCAAAAGCTCCTTGTCTTGGATGAGATAGTTTTGCTCTGGGACGGACATTGTCTTGGACGAGTATCCGATCGGCTTCCATTCTCCGTCTTCTTGCTGCTGCCAGATCACACCGCCCGTGGCGTTGTTGGAAGCATCGGTGTCGACTTTCACTGGGAAACCTGGCTTGTAGAATGCCAAAACTGGGGCCTCGGTAGCCAGCCTCTTGAGTGCGTCGAAGGCGGCTTTTTGCTCGGGTCCCTTCTCGAAGGCAACGTCCTTCTTTAACAGCCTGGTGAGTGGTTCGGCAACTTGGCTGGCGTGGTAACAGAAGATCCGAATGAAGTTGCAGAGGCCTAGGAATGATCGAACAGAGGACTTCGACGTCAAGTCGTCCCAATCCCAATCCAGGATGGCGGCTACTTTGGCAGGGTCCACTCGCACTCCTTTTCCGGTCTCCAGAATCATACCCAGGTAGTCGACTTCGGTCACGTTGAAAGAGGACTTCTTGATATCGCCTTGGAGTCCGGCCTTGTGAAGTCGATAGATGATCTCCTCAACGTGTTCGAAGTGTTCCTCGTCATCGCCCTCTGAATAGGCCAGAACGTCATCAGCATAGGCACTAGCAAAGAGGTCCAGTAACTCGTTGAGTTGTGCATTGATAAAGGCTTGGAACCAAACTGGCCCGACTTTCAGTCCGAAGGGCAGGACTTTCCATTGGAAGGTGCCTTGGCGAGTGGTAAAGGCGGTAAGGTACCTTGAACCGGGGTCCATCAGCAATCGATTGAAGGCACAAATGATGTCGATTTTGGTAAGGTGCTTGGCTCGCCCACAGCGGCTGATGGTGCCTTGTACGTCGGGGGCTAACACTTGTCGACCCTTGATGAAGTCGTTAACTCAGCGGTAATCTACGCAGAAACGGTGCTCTTCTGAATGGGGTTTAGGCACGAATAGGGTGGGAGCAGGTTTATCGGTCATGCATCGTTCAATGAACCCGATCTTCAGTAGTTCGTCGGTGGTCTCCTTTTCGAGTCCTAAGAAAGCGAAGGGCGTAGGGTAGCGAGACGGTCTTCCCTCCAGCGGCTTACTAAGCTCAAGAACCATATCAAAGCCAGGGCGACTAGGAGGCAGTTGCGTTGAGGCTTTCTTCGAGAAGAATCCTTCCAGGTGAGCCAACTCGCGTGGTAGCTTGGCGCGCACTTTGTTGATGTGCTCGGAATCCTCTCCTACCGGAAACGGGATATGCTTTCCGTCGAAGGTCTTGTTCCAAGCCTTAGGGTCGACGGTAAGAGCGTTGAGGCTCACGGTGGGCTGATTAGAGACTCCATCCAATGGTATGGCAGTTTGGGGCATCTTCTGCTTTTTCCATCTCTCTTGGCGAGGGTCAGTCTCAATTGCGCGGAGGCAAGCAATCATCTCGGGGCTGTGCTTCTGTTCTGTTGCGACCGCTGGAGTCGTAGCGGCTGCTACTGTCTGTGTGTTTGTCCTGCGCCAGGGATTTTGCAGAATCTTTTGCACTTTAAGCTTGCGTTCCTCGGCCTTCATCAGTCGATCTCGGCGGACCACCTCTGACTGGGCATTCATGTCAATAGTGCTGGTGCTCGGATTAACAAGGATGCTGGGCGAGTATTGTGCTAGGGCAGGAGTGTCGTCGGGCCAGCGAAGAGTACGCGAGGCGGGGTGCAGCCATACGTTCTGCTTGGTAAACCAATCCTGTCCTATAAAGACATTATTGGCGGTCGGGATGATAATGAACTTCTGACAGGGGAAACGTCTGCCGTCGATCTCGAGAGTGACCCGAACTTGATGGGTAGCGCGAGCGGCGGCGGCCCCGTTGAAATCACTAAGTACTAGCGGTTTAGGCAAGAGTTCCATCTTTGCCCCGACCTTATCAACGAGCTTCTTGGCCATCTTCGGGGTCATAGAAAGGGAAATATCGGCTCCAGTATCACAAAGAGCGTGAGTCTTAAGACCAATGCCATCGACTAACAGGTTGACCCGTTTGGTGAATGTATTTGATTTTGGTAATCTGCCGACTTTAGCTAATTGTGGTATGTGGGCTATCGAGGAGACTTCCGACAGCCGAACTAGTTTTCCGACTCTAATGATCCTGAAGATTCCGACGAAGTATCGGCAACAGCGGTCCCGTCACGGTCAGAGCTTCCTTCATGATCGAAGCTGGCGAGGAAACTGGCCATAACCTTGCGATCAGGACATTTGCGAGCTTGGTGTCCTGGCTTCTTGCACACGAAGCAGAGGTCGGCTGCCTTCAGGATTTCCACCTCCTTTTCTATCGGTCGAGGTGCTGGGGCGACAGGGGTTGTGGTCGTCTTGACCTCGTTCTTATATTCTCCAGACCGGCGGCGTCGAGCTTTGCGTTCGGTGGGGGACTTCTCTCGGCGTTTTCGACGCTCTTCGTAAGCTTCCTGCTTGGAGAGAGCGGCGCTGGTGACGAGATTGCAGAATCTCTCGTACGTGACGGTCGGATCGCGGGCATCGGCGAGGAGTCGGGTGTCGAGGTCTCTAGGGATATGGGCGAATAAGGTATTCTTGCTTTCTTCAAGGGGGATCTTGGCGCGGGCTGCCAGACCGTTAACTTTCGCGATAAATGCATGAATGTCGTCGGACGGGTTGTAGCGAAGCTCGCGCAGTTCGTCAGCCGCTTTCAAGGACTGATTTGCGTCGAAGTAAGCATTGGCCAGAGTGGCGATCATCTCGGCTGTCGAGTGGTATAGATGGGTGAGAGCGTCATATCTCGAGCGAAGAAGATCGGCGGGTACTCCTTTTGTGGAGGCGTAGACCAGGTCCATACGATCTCTCTCGTCGACAAAGGTCTTCTTATCTCGACGACATTTGGCCGCCAACTTGAGAATCCAATCATCGAATTGGTCTTTCTCTCCTTCGAAGATGCCAGGATCCTTCCGTGATTCTCGGGCCCTTGCGTCATAGTCCGGGTTGGGATTGTCTTGTCCTTCATTCCCAGGGAACGGGGCGAACTCGGGTTTGGCCGCTGGTCCGACTGGCTTAAAAGCAGTTCCGCCAAACAAGCTTTGAGCTGGGGTTATATCGCGAGCGGCGCTGGGTTGGCGAAAGGGTATAGAGGAGCGGGGATTGAGCTCGGCTTGGAGCCGGGCAATGGTGGCTTGAAGCTCTGTAGTGGTAGGCGTGGAGGAGGCCATATCTGCGGTTGTTGATTGTGGGGTGGGTGTACTTGTGGCGATCATCTCGTCGTCTGTTGGTGCGGGGCGGAGGTTGTAATGGGTCAATTGTCGGTTGACTTCCGATTGTTCGGTGAGGATGCTGGAGTTCGTTATCTCGACTTTGACAGAGGCGAGAGGTGTATCTTGATCAGGGTCTCGCGCGGTAACAGCGGGCGATCTGCTTTCGGTGTTGCTGTTGGTAGTGACAGGTACTTCTGACTCGGGGTCACTGGGGTCTTCGGCGGGCTTGTTTAGCTCTGGGCTCGAGGGTGTATCGAGGACGGTGTCGTCTGGCACTTTGGCTGTGATACTCGATTCTCCTGTTGGGGTCCGGTCGCTGCTATCTTTTTTAGAGAGTCGATCGGATTTGCGTGTCGGTGGGCCGTAATCTTTCTTCGGCGGCATTGACTGCGCGGGGGTTCTGTGCCTTAGTTTTGCGTCGTGTACAGCCGACGTAGACAAGGCGACCCACTTATGCAATCGCCCCCCTTTGCAATCGCCCACCACCATCACCGCCCACCACAAGAATCGTCAAAATACTCAATTGTAGGCCAAATTCTATAGAAAAAAGTACATTCTAGTCCTCGTCAATCGCCCTATATTGCTCAAGCCCACGGGCGATAATTTCTTCAGCTTCCTGGACCAAGTGTGCAGGCCTGGACTTGGTCTTCTTGGATCTCTTCTTGGGAGGCTTTTGACTAGCTTTTTGAGCCTCGTCAATTTCGTCAATAGTAGCAAATCTGTCGTTGGCGTCTATTTTGACCCTTTTACGTGAATAGGGTTTTTTGGATTCCAACTCGTTGGCTAAGAAGTCGTTTTTTGCCTTAAAAGCAGCGATTTCCGTATTCTTCTGATCAAGTGCCCTCCCTACCTTCGTCAACATAGTCCTGACGACCCTATCTCGGGGACTAGTGGCCGTCTTGGCTAAGCCCTCTTGCCTGCGGACGTCGTGACTACCTTGAGGTGTATTGAAGAGGTCGTTCCGGGTTGCCCGGGTCTTCCGGGGTGGTGTGGATGGGGGTACTGGTTTTGCAGCTTCGTCCCGGACCGCCTCGGGGTCGTCAAGTATACGAGCGGGTTGGAAAGGCCAGATTCTAGTCTTCCGGAAGTCGGATATGATATTTCGGGCTGACATACCCTGCGCTGAGGCGTCCCGGTAGCAAAAAAGGAAGCGTTGCTTGTTGATAGGTGCTGAGGCTGTGAAGGAAGCCAATTCGAGGGTTCTTTGGCGAAAATAGGACTTCAAAGTCGAAAAGATAGACCGGTCGAGTGGCTGGGTCTTGTGAGAAGTGTGTGAAGGTAAGTATAGTAGGTGTACGCGGTTTCTTTTAGCTAGAAGCATAAAGTCTTCGTCGATATGAGTAGCGTGTTCGTCGAGGATTAATAGGCGCCAATCGTCCTTCCTTTGGGGCTTTGTTTGAGGAAGATATACTTCCTTGAGCCACATAAGAGCTATTTTGCTATTGCTCTAGCCTGTGGGCGTATAGTCGTACTTCCAGGTCTTGAGGACTGGTAGTTCCTTGAAGTTATCCGGGAAGTGTTGGCCTTGTAGATTTTCACCCGTAAAGATCACTACGGGCGTCAATCGCTTGCCCTCAGCGGTACCACACTCGATAATACTGACCCAGGTCGTTGGATCAGGGCCAGTCAGGACTGCCCGAGATGTGAGGGCATCGCCAATCACCTTCCCAACCGTAGTTTCCGTCTCTTGCATGCCATGTTCGTCCATATTGGCGATATTCGCAGGTACCAGCTTCTTGTCCTTAATTACAGCTTCCAAACGATCAAAAAAATCCTGGAATCTCTCACGGGTAGATCCTTTGACTCGAGACCGTTCTAATAAGGTACCTAACTTGGCCTTTACCCTGGGGTTGCGGGTAAAAAACCGATCTACCCAGCGCTCACCAACTCGCCCAGGGAGCCCGGCTTCGTTCAGAATCGCTTGTGCGAATCGTCTTAGCTGTGCACGACTTGGGGCACGCCCTGCAGCTTCCTCCTCAAGAGCTCACTCGGCGACGAAGGCTTCCTGGCCGTCAGTTAACTTCTGGGTGTTTTTTTGCGCTTGTCGTGGATCCTGTTGTCCACGGCGTCGTCTGCTGAGGGTGGATTCAGGGATCCTATATAGGCGCGCTACTTCCTTCTGCTGAGCGCCCTGATCAATAGCCTCAATAGCCTCGGCTATTAGCCGCTCTCGTACGCGTCGAACCATCGTATTTTGAGCCTATTCCGACCAGTATTGAGGAAGTTGTTGGTGGTGGAAGGTAGAGAGTAGGAAGTTGGCGGTGTGGGGGAAAAATTGCAAAGTGGGGCGATTGCAAAGGTGGGTCACCCTGTCTAGGGGTTGCAAATAAATGCGGGAATGAGGGAGATATATTTTACTTGCTTCGTCAGCAAGGAAGAGAAGAGTTTAGAATTGTGTCACGACCAGGGCAAGGCATTGAGGTGAACTCAGTCCATTGGGTGCTATCGATGAAGATTCTAAACTGAGGAGGGAAAGAAAGAAAAGTCCGACAACGCGTCGCGTGCTCGCGAATAAGTTTTCGTCTATCAGTGGTGTAGGCGGGGCCTCGAGGAGGCTTCTGATAGGCCCGGGGGTTCTGGGCGGCTCTGGCTGCTTGAGGGCCAGTTTGGTGGACGGGTCCTCACAAAGCCGCCTTTAGGACGTCACTGTTCGGGTGTGGGAACTACCAGTCCATCAGAGGATGCAGTCGCACGTGATTGTTCAACAGGCTGCACAGCCTCAGTGGCTGACCAGCGCGCGGGCCGCTATGCGGCACGTGCGCGAGGCGCACCCCTCACGTGACCTCCAGCATCGCCAATTTCAACGCGCATCCTGTCCCCGTAGTTCGTGACCTTTTAGACATAGAGCAGACCAGAATACAACCACCACAACCACCTCATTCGCATCGTTTACTGCAGTGACTATGGAACGAATGACCTTGTCATTTCAACATCGGGTTTTCTGGGTTTACGACGAGCTTAGGTAAACTAGGTATTTACTACGGAATGATGTCCTCGTAACCTATGAGTTCTGGTTCAATCTGAACCTGTATCTATCTAGCAAGTGGATCTCTGTGACATTGCGGGCAGCTGCTCGTAGCCTATTATTTACGGCGAGGCATTCCGAAACGACCGCCATGTCCAGGGTCGACCCATCACGTCTGGTATATAAAAAGACCAGTCCTTTTTATAACCCCTCCCCATAACGCCTTCCTTGCCAAGACGCTAATTAGCATACTTCCGGGTCCACTCACGCGCGATCGCATCGTACTTGGCGCGGTCTGTATGGTACATGTAGGCGATATCAGGCATGAGAGGGTCATCCGGGTTCGGGTCCGTTAGCATCGAGCTAATGGAGAGCAGCACTACACCCCAATTAGAATACAATATGAAATGAGGACTGGGGTCGTGATTTACACTTGGAGACAGTCAACACTGGGCTCCACGACTCTCGCAAAATGTCTAGGCAGATACCGCCGTCGGCATTGATGTTAGGGTGGAAGACAGGGGTGCTGAAGCTGATCCGGGGTGGCTTGAACGGGTAGTCATTTGGAAATGCGATGTTAAGGAAAAACACGCCATCGGAATATGGCGAATCGCTCTATAACGAAGCTATTAGTATACAGATACTAGGAAGTTCAGGAACGATGGCTTTGATTTCCGACACAAGAACAATCAAGTAAACAGGTAGCGCAAGGAACTGAAAACAATAGCGGGACGTCTTACTGGGCCCATGATCGTGGCTTGCCACTGGAACTAGGTACGAGTACATGTTAGCAAAGTCTTGAGGACAGTTCGAGACGTACAGGCCGCCCGCTCGTGCCATATGCGCCAGCATATCTTGGCTTATGAGAGGCGGTATGTGTATTTCGTACCATGTTATCGCCTACCGGCCCGGCCGTACACGAAAAGGTAGGATCGCTACGAGACAGAATGTTAGCATCGCGAAGATTATTGTTCAGTATTTGTCGAGGCTTGTCTGGGACGCTTGGAACCCAGCCGGTGTTAGCCTCGCAAATGCGATAACAACCCCGCCCGCAGTCCCGACTCCACCAAAGGAGGACTGATGAGATGACAATGGAAATGAAAGAGAGTGGTGTAAGGGTCTTAATAATGCGACATACCGGCCGAGGTCAGCGAGCTCATTGGTAATTCGCTTCAGAGCCATCTTCGGTTATGGATACGTGTTGCGCGCTTTAATTCTGGAGTTGAGCGTTGGGTCGATAACTCTAAGCCTGCTGGAACAAGGCTGGGTTAGCAAGGGCTGTGGTAGAAATGCAGAGAATCCGAATGAACCGGTGCGTCAGACAGCGGTTTGAAAAAACAGTCGACGCAAAGAGAGAGTTATAAGGAATCCCGAGAATATGGATCTTACAAAGAGAAAGATTTTTAGTTGCGCCCTCGCACCGGTGAAGATCGCCGGAGATCAGGATTGGTTCCAAGTTAGCGAAAGTTAGGTTGTAAGAGGAGAGGACTAGGAGGGGGGAGGGGGGAAATGAGCGGAGCAAGTTATCTTAGGCTGGTGCAGGGGCCACCAAGGAGTGCCCCAGAAGGGGCCCCACAGCAAACTCGACCAAGAGGACCAATGATTGGTTGAGGGGCGGTCTTGGCAGTTCGGTCGGCTACGCCCAAGTCTGGACGGGGTGCGGGCCGGTCGTTGTTGGAACAACGCGCATTTCAGACACATAGAAGTAGCTGTAGCAACGCATTCATCGGCTACACGGGCGGCGGTGGAGGCGTAGGGGTCCCAGATTCCATATAAGTGCCGACGGGCTAGAACTGGCGTGCGAAACCAACAATGACCATCACTTGAACCACCAGCTTTCGGCGTGCAGCACGCCCTGTGGCAGTACTGGTACCTGGTGATTCCAACACTGATCAGTGGTTAATTCACCACTATTGGGACAGCGGTCTATACTACAGATCAGCAAGGATCGAACAGAAGAGACAGCGCCATAAGGAACGGTCAACCCGTGAGCCAGCCCTCTGTACGAGCTTCTGTATCTCCGCCTACGAAGAGATGGTACGACGGAGCATTCATGCTTCGAATCCCAACCGCAGCCTGAGAACCTTCGAATCTACGGAAGAAGTGGCCGTGACTATCTCCCTGGCGTCACCTAGCCGTAGAGCGTCTACCACGCAACAAGCCCTGGAAGACGACCTCCCGGGCCAACAACGACGACCTACCCGTTGAACACTCATTCTTTTGCCTTTATTCCTTTCTATCTTGCTTCATTTTTTTCCCCACCTTTAGCCACTCCGTTGGCTACTTCATTTCTTCGCCTCTTTTTCAACATTCCTTCATTTTTCCCACCTGCTCTATTTCTTTGGCCATGCCCAACATTCCTTCATTTTTTCGGCCCTTCTCAATATTCCTTCGATTTTCATTTTTCATTTGTTGAACTGCGTGTGGTAGGTAGGCGGAGTGGAGCGGTTTAGCGTAGGCTCGAGAGCTAAGTGCAAGGTAGATCGCAGGAACTGTGCCTTACGGTCTCGTACGACAGTGCCTTGTGAGAGGCACTGAGGGAAGCAGCCTGACTGCTACAGGTCTGCAGAACTCTGCTGCGGGCCTGCCACTTAGACTGTGAGAACTCTGCTCAATAGTCTACCTCATGGGCGGCAGGAGACTCTGCCCTGCGGCCAGGGTCTTCTTGGGCGGGCTGACTGCTGAAGAAGACAAAGAGGAGCTGTATTATGAAGGGTGTAAATACAAAGTGTTGCGGGGCTTAGCCCTGCTTAGGTAAAGCCTGGGTCAGCAGCCCGCACTAGGGTTCTCGCCCACACATTTAGTACGGGGAATAACCCCTCCTAGAGTTAGCTCCCTAATGCAACACACATTTTTGTCACCACAACACAAAGAGTGGTGAGTGCTTAACTTACTTGAGGAAGGAAATCTATCCAAGAGAAAGGACTGGCCTTATATGAGCAAGAGGCAGGTCTTCCGGAGACTCATGGCCTCGTATTCGACAGTCTTCCAGGGGGCCTAGTGCTCCACACACCAATCGCACCTCATATCGCTATATACTGGTTTGTGCCGCTGTACAGTTCTTTATACAGTGTCCCGTGGTGCTGTGCAGCTTCCACAATACTTTACAGTGCCATAGCTGCACCAGTACAACCGCTACAGTGCCCTGGACTACATCTTTTCCCCACCTTCAACCATTCTAAGTTGACTATGCCTATTTTGGCCCAGCCCACATTTGGCCGTGCTGAGCCGCCCACTTACATGAATGACACCCTACATAGAAACATGTAAAATATCGCCAAATCAACTAATCTCTATATAACTTTTGACTTCTTCTTCTTCTTCCGAGCTTTCTGATTCGTTAGAGCTGTCAATATCGCGCCCCACTGTCCTCTGCGCGCGCCGAATGTCTTTTATCGAGGCAAACCTCGAATTTGGGCTTAATTCCACCTTCTTCCTCTTGGTTCTCTTTTTGTTCTCAAGCTCAGCTTTCAGAGCCTCATTTTCGTGCCTGAGCTTAGCCAGCTCAAAGTCCCTGAGGGTGAATGTCTTCCTGACCTTCCTGAATAGCTGATGACGTGCCCTGCGGGCCGGGGAGCTAATGTTTACTTTGGCTAAAGCAATCGTAAGGTCCGTAACCTTATTAGGAGTCTTCCAAATACCGTAATCGTCAAGCAACTGTTGTTGTTGATCAGCCGTATCCCTCTCTTCCTCGAGAGTAGCTATAGCCGTACATTTACCGGCTTTGTTGCTATTTCCTAGCACTTGAGGGCTCGTGAGTGGCTTGAGCTTGTTTACCTGCCACAAGCTGGTAGCATACCACCCTGCCTTGTAGTTTTCTTCCTTGAATGCTTCTTCCGGGCAGCCCGGTAACAGATCAACTTAGTGCGCCGGCCGGAGACCGTTGAATCGGAGCACTGGGTAGGGAGTTAAACCTCTTCTTGTATGCCCGCTTCAGGACCGAGAAAACCGTCAAATCAAGCGGCTGAAGCACGTGTGATGAGTGTGCCGGTAAGTAAAGAAACTGAATGTTGTTTTAGAAGCAGGTCCACATATAATCATCAGTTGTATGACTACCGTGGCCGTCAACAATCAGGAGCCGGCATTCGTTGTTGGCCATACGGGTGTTAGGAAGAAAGACTTCCTGAAGCTATTTTAACGCACCCTCATCGTCAATCTAGCCTTTTCCTTGCGTATGGAACTTCCAACCTTTGAAGAGACCCATTTTGCTTGGGTAGTGTTGTTGTTGTAAAGTTTTTCCCTTCATAATCACTAAAGGAGGTATTGACCTACCTGTTGCAGACATGCATTCCACGAACGTGGTCCAATTCCGTGATCCTGGCTGCTTTTTCTTCAGCTTCTTGTTGTTGGCCCTTTCCTCAGATCCAAGAACCATGCCGTTGTCACCCTGGCCTTCAAGAAGGCCAGTCTTGTCTTTATTCCAACGGTTCTCCGGCTTGATCAGCTTGATAGCCGGGAGGGCCAGGTAGTTGAACCAAGCCGTGATTACCGGGACCGTGGGGCCGTTGAGCCGGGCCGCATCCATGCTTTGTGCCCGCTGGGTCCGAATTGACGGGTTCCGGGCCATGAAGCCGCGCAACCACTTCGGTCCTACGTATTCCGGCTTGCCTCCGTCCACGGCCAGCCGGCAGGCAAATTCCCGGACCGTTGCATGCGTTGGAGATAGGCCGAGAGCGCCCTGAAGGATGATACTTTCGGCGAGCCGGGCTTCCGTTGTATGCGGAAGAACCTGCATGTATTCGAATGCAATATGGCGGGATTTGTGGCCGGCATACGGTTGCGAAGGGTAGTCCTCAGAACGCCACATTCTTCTGCCGCGCGCCGCAACGGAACGCCTTCCCGGACTTTTTACATAGCCTACAGAATTTCCAATTCGTTATATTGAGGCATTGTTGGAAAGATCAGGGAAAGGGCTCTCGAATGTAGTAGAATTGAAGGAATTTGGTGTTGTTTTAAGGAAGTTGCGGTGTGTTGAAGAAAAAGGATTGATGACATGTGGTGTAAGTGCATGGTGGCTTACGCATGGGCCAAAAGTGGGCTGGGCCAAAATAGGTATGGTCAACTTAGCTGATTCTGGTAATGGTTAAGACTGAAGAAAAGGGAAAACAGTCGGGCTGACGCGTTGGATCTAGAGGGAGAATAGTGGCTCCATTCTTGTAATTGGGCAAGACTGATAGAGGAGGAATGGTGGCTTTATTCTTAGAACTAGGCAAGATTGTAGTACAATGGTGGCTCGACTTTTGGAATGGCCAATACTGGCAGAGTCTTGATTCTGGCAAACGGTCAAGACTGATGCAGAGTGTAGTGTGGTGGTAATGGTCAAGACTGATGAAGAAGAATACAAAGAAGACCTGAAGGGAAAACATTCGGGCTGACGCGTTGGCTCTAGAGGGGGAATGGTGGCTCTATTCTTGGACTTGGGCAAGACTGATACAAAGTGTAGGGGAATGGTGGCTCCATTCTTGGAACTGGGCAAGACTCTAGTAGAATGGTGGCTCGACTTTTGGAATAGCCAAGGCTGGTAGAGTCTTGATTCTGGCAAACGGTCGAGACTGCAGAGTGCAGTGTGGTGGTAATGGTCAAGACTGATGAGGGAAAAAAGAAAATGCCCGGGTCGAAGGAAAACATTACGGACACAAGTTGGCTCTTGCCTGCTGTGCCGGTGGCTGTTGCCTGCCGTGCCAGCCCGGTAGCACGTTTTTGTGAGTTTCAAGACAGAGGGAAATAGTAGCTCGAATTTTGGAATTAGTCAACTCTTCTCGAAAAGTACCTTGAAAAACTTGTTCTTAGCAAACTAATGATAAGCAATCGAGGCGGAGATGTACTTTTCTCAGTAAGTACTTCCAAGCGAGCAAATTTGTACTGCTTTTCTCAGCAAGTGTCTACAGGGGCTCGCGCTTGCCTTGGCGGAGAGCTGACGTGCCAAAAGTTAGCCAGGGCGGGCAAACAGCTTGTGTACTTGGGGAGTTCACAGCTAGCGGGCAGCTCATGTACATAGGGAGTCCACAGCCAGCGGGCAGCTTGTGTACTTGGGCTCCGCGCTTGCCCTGGAAGCCAGAAGCAAAAAGTACAGCCAGGGGCAGCGAACAACGTCGGCAAAGTATGCTCAGCCAAAACGTACCGACAGCAAACTTGTGTGCTACGTAGCAAGACTTGTATACTCAGCAAACAACTTGTGAATCAGGTAATGAAGATTTGAAAAGTCAATAGCCAAGGGCGGGTGCTGACAGCAAACTGTGTCTACTGGGGGGGCTCGCCCTTGCCTTGGCGGGAAGTGACGTGGCACAGCAAAAGTCGACAGCAGAAACTTGTATCTACTCAGGGAACTTGTGAATTAGGCAATCGAGGCACGGAGGAATATTTAAAAAGTCCACAGCAGAAACTTGTATCTACTCAGCGAACTTGTAACAAGCAATCGAGGCGCGGAGGAAGATTGAAAAGTCGACAGCCAAGAGGGTGCCGGCAGCGAATAGCTTTACTCAGTAAACTTATATCTACAGGCAGGGGGCTGCGCTTGCCCTAGCGGGAAGTGACGTGGCACGGAAAAAGTTGACAGCAGAAACTTGTATCTACTTAGCAAACTTGTGATAAACAATCGAGGCGCGTAAAGGAAGATGTACTTCGCAAACAACTTGTGTACTTGTCAGCAAAAACTTGTATCCAGCAAATAACTTATACCCAACGTACTAATCAGCACAACTTTGTACTACTAGGCAAAAAACTTGTCTGCCACTTAGCAAAAGACTTGTGCTTAGTAAAAGACTTGTGTCCAGCAAAAACCTTATACTACTTAGCAAGACCTTATGTACTGCTCAGCACAACTTTGTGCTACTTGGCATAAAACTCATATTCGGCAAAAATCTTGTCTACCACTTAGCAAAAAACTTGAACTTAGCAAAAGACTTGTGCTTAGCAAAAGACTTCTGTCCAGCAAAAACCTTATACTACTCAGCAAAACCTTACATACTGCTCAGCACGACGCTCGGCAAAAGACTTGTTCAGCAAAAGCTTGTCTGCCACTCAAAAGACTTGAATTCAGCAAACAACTTGTGAATCAGGCAGTCCAGACGTGGAGGAAAGGTCACAGCCAGCGGGCAGCTTGTGTACTTGGGCTTCGCGTTTGCCTTATTCTTAGCAAACTTGTGAGGAGCAAGCCCGTGGAGGAAAAGCACTACTCTTCAGGGCCTGATCTTCTCGCGAAAAATGAACCAGTTTTCGCCGTTTTTCGCGAAAAGGGGTGACTTTGCAACCCCTGTTACAAGCGCTTACGCCAAGATGTACTGCATGGGGCCCCGGTTAGTCCAACTAGCCGTAAATAGACTAGATTGCCCCCCCCCCCCCAAGGAGACTCACCGCCTTCGTCGTTCAACGCTGGATGGTGTGTTCGTTGTTGTGGCCATTCTCTCCAGTCTTCGAAAGCGATTCCGACGATTCCGATGATTCTGATGATTCTGATGATTCCGAGTGTTCTGACGGCGATTTGGACGATGATGATGACGAGCCTCTACCGCCCACGCAGATGACACTATCGCTTGAAACGCCTGTGCCGAGTTGAGGGTTTACGCCCAGGGAGCAGACGCTTGCCCGTACAATCCCCAGTACTCAGTTGTCGCAGGCGGGGAACACTAGGCCGGTGACCTCATTGCTTCCGCAGAAGCGCACCATCGCGAAAAGCGCCGCCCAGAATCCTAGAATAAGGAAGAGGAATCGCGGCATGCCTCCTCCACCATCACAGGCTAGATCGCAACAGAGACCGCCAGTGATCTGGGGTATTCGGGAGGTTGCCCAATTGATGCTCTGGTTCCTCTATTGTACTCGCGAGGGCTTCTTCCAGGCGGAGAGAAGGAAAGGATGTTTCAATAGGTCTCAGATCTTCAGGATTGCAGCATGCCACAATGATCTGGGGCCGCTGCTCGCAGATGCACATACAATCTCGGCTAGGCCTTCTTGTGAGCGTTACCTTTGGTAGGGAGGCAGGGACACCTTTGTTCAGCGACATCGAGATGCATCCTAGAGACAAGCTGAAACGAAGAGGTGGCGGCGAAATCCCAGGCGTTCAACAGTCCGTCGAGGACTTCTTTCCCGTTTCCATCCTCTGATCAAACTTCTCTGCACGTATTTTCCAGATACCGTCCCTTTCGGCAATCGTCGCGTGCAATGAGTGTCCTTTTGTTTTTTCGCGCTACGAAATACTCTTCTTCTAACATAGGGTGTCGTTTAACTATTTCGACATTTGGTTCGAGATCCGCTGCTGGCCCCGACAAAAATACCGTGTAGTTTGTTTTTTAGACCTAATTAAGTAAGTAAGGCCCGGCAACGGCGGCGAGATAAGTCTAACCTTTCTCTCAAACTCGACAAGAGACTCCATCCTGCCGCTCGTGTGTGTCGGCAAATCACACCTTGCCATCGAGTTCGCTTATCGAATCGCCGGGGCGCAAGCAGACAGATGGGTGTTCTGGGTTTATGCCGACGCGCAGGCGCGCGTCGAGGAGGGGTTCAGGACGATTGCCGACGCCGTGCTGCCCGGCCAGAACCAACCAAAAGCCAACATCCCCCAACTCATGTACGGCTAGCTGTTCAACGAACAGATTCCTACCCCCCCATTCCTAGGCCGACGAAATGAATGCCAAGCGGCTTAGGACGGCTGAATATCGTCAAAACACCTCGAAACGCTCTCCACAACGGACTGCAGCTCTCTTGTTGGCCGGCTATCTCGCATGACTGGGAGTACTGGTCTTGTTTAATTGTCCAGCTACACGGGTCCGTCTCCGAAGAGAGTTCCGTCCGGTAGCTATTTTGTTAATCACTACAATAATCTTTCTATCATCTCAAAGGCCTTATCCCTCTGTCTGCTCATCGCAGGTAAGAGCTCAGTCCTTTTTGTTCCTATATTCTATTTTCCCCGTACTGCCGGAACCGCCAGCGCTCCCTGCCTCTACGGTCCTGCTGCCACTTTGCGTAAGCCATGTCGACTTCGACTCGCTTCCACGGCCTCGGCGTCTCCTGGGGCTGCGTCTAATCATGCTGTCCTCTGACCCTACCTCCTGCGGAGATGGCCTAGTCGGGCTCCGTGATTTAGCTGCAGTAGCCCACGTGACTAATAGAGGCACCACACAGTTATTGCCACCAGACCTCATCCTTGTTGGCTGATAGTTGGCTTAGTTTCTAATCTGTTGAGTCAACTTGGCGCTTGCTAGGTTCACGAATCCTTGCCAAGTCGCTCCGACTCTATGCAACGATGCTGACACTGCCTGGGCGGAATGGTTATTACACACAACATTAAGAGATGAATCTTTGAAGCATCTACTTTTCTCGGAGGGCGTTGGGTTCCTGGTTGCACCCATTAATTTCTTCCTAACTCGGCCTAAAGCTTAGTCTGTTAATCACTGGCAACCAATTGGCGGCCTCAGTTCGATGGGCTTGTCGGCTTCGCAACCCGACGATCAAGACCGGCCACTAACAGGACATCTTAGCGTAAGTCACAGAGCTCCTAGTTCCCTCCGTGACTGTCTGCCTACTCCCTTGTTTTTCACCGCCATTTAGTGGCTAGCTAATGCCAAGCCTCTGAATTGCATGAACGAGTTCTACCCAAGTCCACCATCTGAGAGAATAAACGCAGTGGGCTGGTACCCCTCTGCTAGGTTATCAATTTATTGCCCCTCTGTCCATCCAGTATAGCGTTGGCACTCCTTCATTGTCCTAGCCCAGCAAAATACACAAGTTTTTGAAACACTATCCTTTCATAGGCTAGCAAAGAGCACAAGTTTTTGAAACACTACTTTTCAACTTTCTTCACTATTGTCGTCTAGATCATACTTCTCGGACTCAATCATGAATCTATCTGTGATGTGCACAACTCCCAGACGGCCAGGAAGTTCCCAGCCACGGGCCGTGGGGAAATGGTTGAGCTGCTCGCCATATCCACGGGAGCCGTAATACACGACGGCTACGCCCCCCAGCTCGACGAGATGAAGATGGCAGAACGGCCTCGAGACGGGGGTGAGTACCGTTTCGTCAATTTTCTCTTTGTTACCTGAAACGATGGCGTCGCGTACCGGCAAGGACTTAGACGAGTTCTGGCCTCCGTCTGGGAGTCGGCAAAGCGTGAGTCGGTTGATGTCACTCTCGAGTGACCGACGCACAGCTATTTGTCCATCTGAATAATTACAGCGAAGTGCGGTGGCATAATCACATCCAGAACAGATGGCAGGCCGTGGACACGACCCTCCCGAGAGAGCTGCCGCCCATGGGGCACCCCGCCTTATCCGTAAAGCGGATAGCCGAGATCTACCCATGTAAGACCTTATTTGGAATCGTTTGGAGACGCTGTAGAAAACCGAACAGAACTCGTGCTGACGTTGTATTTCGAATCCTCTAGGGTTAACAGATCGGCCCACATCGGGTTTCGTCGAGCAAGCCCGGATATACTGGGCTCGGGCATAATAAGCCTGCGCCGCAAGCCAATAGCAGCGCTGCAATCCTTGACTCTGGTGAGCAGTGCGACGGCGTTAACAAGCTCACCCTGATCTCATTGGCTGTGGCGACCGAAGTACCGGAACGGGATGCGATATAACCTCTTGGCTGGCCCAGTCCGAGCTGATGTCTGTATGATAAGTCCGAACAGCTATTCTCCAGTATAAATAAAACCTCCAACGTCTCAAACCCATAAGATTCCTGTCTTACACTCTCATCAGCAAGGCAAGAAACCATCATCCCCATTACATCCAATAAGCAAGCAACAACTAGAAACACCTGGTCTACCCTCACACACTCTCTTCTGACCAAACCAACAAGAAACTCACACAACACCCCAAAAATGGCGACAGCACAAGAAACCACGCAGGGCAAGAGCGCCAGCGGCGTGCCGCACCTGTCGCAGGCGCACGGAATCCCGTTCCCCAAGTACTTCGCAGCACTAGCAGCGACGTACAATGCGCAGACGGGCAACACGACGCGCAGCCTGTTCGCAGCCGCGCTGGACGACATCACCGCCCAGGTGCCGCTCACATCAACATCGCGGGTGCACGAAAACGCGGCAAGCCCGGGCACGGCGGCGTCGGTGCTAGTTGACCGGCTTACCCCGGATTCTCTGCCCAATATTCTCGTGACAGACTGGGTGGCGGCCATGGTCTCGGCCGCGCGCGAGTCGTTCGCGCACGTGCCTTCGGTAACCGCGGCCGAGATGGACAATGTGAAGGCAGGCATAAACGAGAGTCAAGGCTGCAAGTAAGAAATGACTGGATTCGTAAATAACTAAACTAAAGAAAAGAAAAGGAAAAGGAAAAAGCCTGCGGTTCCTGCAGGCCGTGGCTTTGTGGTTGGCAGGGGCGATTAGACTAGTGTTAATTGGGAAGAGTGGGGCAACGGGGTGGGACCTGCAGCCAGGGCATGGTTGCGGCACCACGGACCATAGTTCGGCCGTGCCGTGACAGACAGCCTCACGCTGAGCGGGGTTGCGGACAGCTCGGTGACGCACAGCATCTTCAACTTCAGCATCTATCTTCGCGATATCGAACCCGCTGCGGTGCGTGCGCGAGGTGCGGCGGACGCTGGCGGGCGGCGGCGGCGTCGCGGCGCTGCTGACCTGTTGCCGCTTTGGTGCGGGCGAGATTGTGCGCGCAACGCAGGCGCTCGTGCGGCCAGACTTGCCGCCAATGGCGTATCCGCATCCAGAGTTCTGGCAGCCCGGCGTTCTAGCGGCGTTGGCGGTCGAGGCCGGGTTTAACGATGCAAACGTCACGGTGCTAGAGAAGAGCGTCGTGGTCGGGCCCCGGCCGCAGCTGGACGGCCTGCGCGGGTTCTGGGCGAGCGACTTTGTCAAGACCGCCAGAGTTGGCTGGACTGATGAAGAAGTGGCCCGGTGGCCGGCGGCCGTCAAGCAGGCCGTCTGGGCCGAGATTGACGCTCGCGGCGGTGTCTTGTTTCAGGCGTATGTGGTGTTGGCGAGGACGTGAACGAGACGGCATCTTATACGGGAAACGAAGAGGACGATAATTAGACAGTAGAGTAGACTATTAGGTTTAGCTAGAAATTGAATACACTTTCATTCTTCATCTCTTAAGCCGCCAAATCACCGTTAACGGCTTGCGCACACGAATGCCTTTAAGAACCGCACTTTTATCTCTTTATACTAGTGGCTTGAATCCGTATTATAGACTTTCTTTTCGCAATGTTTTCTTATCTTTCTCGTACAAAACCAAGCACTTAGTGTGAGGACCCGTCCACCAAACTGGCCCTCAAGCAGCCAGAACCGCCCAGAACCCCCGGGCCTATCAGAAGCCTCCTCGAGGCCCCACCTACCCCACTGATAGATGAAAACTTATTCGCGAGCACGCGACGCGTTGTCGGACTTTTCCTTCTTTCCCTCCTCAGTTTAGAATCTTCGTCGATAGCACCCAGTGGACTGAGTTCACCTCAATGCCTTGCCCTGGTCGTGACACTTAGTCCCATACAGTCACCCTAAATTTTTATAGCGAAATCAAGTCTAGAATAGACCAACATACATATTTGGGTAGTAAAGTGAAGAAAAAGATATTACACGAAAGAAAGAATAAAGAAAAAATGCAAATATATAAAATGTCCAAGCAGGGGTATTCACAACAATAACAATGTTACGATATTCATGAAATAAAGGGATAGTAAATAAAGCCCATTGTCACGGTTAATAGGTTTCGAAGGACTGTTCCGAACAATATACCGTATTGATTTACTGTAAAACTGAGCTAAAGAAGAAAAAAAAGAAAAAAGAAGAAGAATCGCGAATTGTGTAATCGGTAGAAAAGGTTGTAGGCGGGGTAGCTCGCAACCACGTGACTAATGCACTAAGCCTAACTGGGCCTATCGGGAAATGACGTCACACGGCAATGCGATAAGGAACCCGAAACGCGCTATGCCGTGACACCCATGGCCGAAACACATATTAAAAATATCGTCAAATATCAACCTAATAAACAGTTAAAGTTCCAAGACTTAGAGTGATGATACTACTTAGAGTGATGATACCACTTGGAGTGATAATACCACTTAGAGTAATGATACTAATACGGACAGGAGAAATAATTATGCCATATGTATTCCATATACGCGGCCGTGATAAACGCCTCGACTAAAGTTCAGCATTATGTCGTAAACTTTTTCTTGCCCACGTACTCCCCCCCTCTAAAATATCGCAGCCCCCTGAGAAGGCAATTCGCCCTGTAAACGTCAGCCATCAATAATATGCGTACCTATATAATATGCAAATAACGTGCGAGTATGCTATCGTCCGTCCCTTGCCGTGCCTCAATCCGACGACCCTGCCGCACCTGCTTAGTCCTAGGCCGACGACTTTGCCTTACACCCGCGCCTACGCCGCACCCCTTCCACCCGATCTGCGCCACCCCTCTTAAAATCACAGGGGTCCTCCAAACGGGTCGTCGAGACCCTTGGCGACCTTTCGTATCTTAGCGTCTCGGGCCGCTTCGCCAAACACGGCGGCGTCGTCGTCGTCGACCGTCTCTCCGCGGCCTTCCCGGTCTCCGTTGTCGGAGTCTCCCTTCTTGAAAGCCTCTTCGCGCCGTGCTCTTTGCAGCGCAACAAGGTTTGAGCGGTCCGGGTCGCAACACTTTTTGAGCTTCTTCTTAATGGGAAGAATCAAGTCTTGGTACATGTCTTTTATGGCAATTGTCAGAGACGGGTCTGAGAAGTACGAGCGAGGCAAGGGTAGTAAGGTTAGCTTACGCTCTGCCAGTGTTCTTTGCTTCGTTCCGGCATTTCATACGCCATCATCTCCCTGCACGCTTCGATGGTCCCGAGTACCTTGTCCCGGATCTGCTGCCCTATGATGGCTTCTTTGTTTTGGCCCTTGGGCTGATGACTATCATTCGGTGCACCATCGCCGCCATTTGCAAGCGTGCCGTTGGTAGCTGGCGAAGTGATATAGTGGAAGGTTTCTTGTATAAGTCGTTTGGCCAGCTCGCAATCAGCAAGCGATAACGCGGCCAGCATGATCTAGCTCGGTGTGTAGTGGAAGTAGGCGTCGGTGACCAACGAGCTGAATCTCAGTATCGACTTGGCACGCTCCTCGGCAGCTCGGATACGTTCTTCCTGTCGATGAGAAATGTCAGCAACTAGGCTAAACAATGGTATCGATTTTTGGGCACGGAGCGGGAGTAGTTTGACCTACCTTGATATCGCCGAGCCTTCGGAGCTCCATTCTAGCGCCTATAAGCGGGCAAAAAGGGTGCCTAACATCAATAGCAAAGCGGATGCCTTGACAAAACAGAAATTCGCCAGCGAGGATGTCCACGGGTTGCTTTTTCAGACTTCGAAAACAGCCCATTTTGAGAAAGCTAGGTAGTAACACTCTTGGTCAGCAGTCTATTCTAGGATTCTTCCCGGGCTACCCTTCGAAATCGCTCTCCAACCCCTCTGCCCATAGCAGAACTCGCAGTCGAGGGAGTGGCTGGGACGGAAGCGGAAGGGGGCCTGAGTCACTCGGTAACCATTGTAAACCACCCTTCTGCCTTGCAGGCAAAAAAGAGCGCGACAGTCATCATATCCTGTGGGGAGTATGTCATGATGCTGTTGGTGATGTAGAACCTGCGGAAGAAGGCGGCGGCCGTGGCACAGATTTCGTCTGACAACCCCGTGGCGCTGCCGGCGCCCAGCAGCTGCGTCGTGTAGAAGGTAGTCATTAGGGACTGGTCGGCGACCGTCAGGAACTCGGGCAGGCGGAAAGACACGCCGTCCGGGTCGGGCGTGTTCGCATTTGACGTTGAGGCGGACCAGTCATTATTGTTCTTGTCTGACGAAGACGACGCCCAAGAGAAGCGCTCCGAGATGCTCGCCCGCGCCAAGGAGTTGGACTTCTCGCGCAGCGATGCTAGCTCTGCGCGAGAGAAGGACCATATGTAAGAGAAGGCAGGTACGCTTGATCAAGGTGGTCACAATAGGAGCAACAAGCAGGGCGAGCAATGACTGGTATTGGCGTAAGACTTCAACCTGGCCTGAGCTAAAGAGGTGTGCGAAGGCCATGGTCCATATACACGTGAAAGAGGTTACGAGTCATCCTTGCGTGGCCAGGGTGGTAGCTGCGATAGTGCGTGGCCCTGGTAGCGGTAGCGATAGTGGCGATGGTGGCGAGGGTGGCCCTGGTGACGGTGGCCATGGTGGCTACGAGGGTGGTTTCCTTACACCATAGCCGGTATTGCGACGAGAGCCGATATCGCGCATCTTCGGTGGCCATGGCTGGCGGGAGTGACGGCCCCGCGGGTTGGGTGGAGGGGTGCGCAGGCGAATGGATCGTAGCTCGGAGCGATGTAAGGGAGGGCTAAAGTGGAATTTGGGCAGTGGAGTTTGATCGCATTTCAGGTCAATTGAACGGAATTCTTCAACGAAATAAGGCGCAGGGAGAGTCTGGCCTGTCTTCTACCACCGTCGCAGTAAGCTCGACCCTTTTTTCTGGACGTCGAGGTAGCTGTTTATTTGGGTTGCTGCACTGCGATGGAGGGGAAGCTTGACGACTTCCCGGCCTCGAAGAGGTAAAACTCCGAAGTGGGGCTCCTGTTAGGCGCAACAAAGGTCTGTGCGGTGTAATCATAGGATGTCAGCGGTTCAGAGAGCGGAGAGACAGAGACAGAAATTGACAAAACAAGGGGACGAGAGTTATTTATGTAAGTGATACTTTCATAATCTACGTAGTTCGGATTAACAGGATTACCACTTAAAAGTCTAAAGCTCCAAAAAGCTTGAGGATAAACGCCTTCCCACCAGGTCGCAGATTCAGTCCATCCAGTCTCACTGGGGCTAATCAACATGGCAATCACCTCACCAACAACCGAGCGCCGCCCATAATTAGACGCAGCCAGCAGCCGGGACGGAGCGTTTGTGTAGTTTGACGGGTGGGATGTTCCTAGCCCCGACGCTGCGTACTATCCAGAACTACAGGGAAACGCAGGTATTGAGACACTTCAGGGCCTAACACGCTCGAAACCTAGACATCAATTCTACGCGTTCAACACCTTTGGCTGGCTCAAATCCTAGGACGTGCTCAACTGGTGTGAATTTAAGGAGGTCAAGGGGTGCAAGTTGTACATCCGTGTTGAATACCCTGGTTGGCAATTCTTCCAAGGCACGAATAAATTCCTCATAACAAAATAGTGTGTCTCAACTATATATAGGATAAGATTCACCTAGAAGCGATATTACCCGGCTCACGAGCGAAGTTCTCACCGTAATCGCGCTCCACAGCCAGGTTGAGACACGCTACCCGGACTCTGAACACAACCAGAAGGTAGCAGCCGTTAACACACAGGGCTGGATCAAGCGGAAGGTTGTGTTCCTACTTACAACTATGCCTAACTCTACCTGCCTAGATGGCATCTATGTTTGTACCGGGTTTCGCTGGTATAATTTCTTTCTACACCACGACTCGGTGGACGACGACATTGAGAAAATCCCCAACAAAGACTAAGTTCCGGATCTTATCAAAGCTTGCGATGAAAATGACAACGCTGTTGCATTCAACACCGATAGATATCTCAAGAAGGCGGTGAGGTTCCCTCTAACCAGAGGCGAGAGCTTCACCAAGCATACCCAAGGTCTCTATGTGAGAGTATGTTGGCCAAATTTTGTATACCTACTCGGGCTCGACTCTCTAGGATCTGATAGCAGGCGGGAAGAGAGCATGCAAGTTGTTGGATTACTGCACTTCAGGATTTTTTACTGGCTTCAATTGATTGTCTTCTCTATCTTCCTGGCTTTCTGGCAGTGCCAGAAAGCCTCCTTCTTATACTACTATTGTGGTGGCAAAATAGGTGGCAAAATGAGTGGCGAAGTAGGCCGCGAATCCTTTGCCTAGCTCCTTCACAGCCCACATTCCAGCATGTTCCATCTGACACAAGTTCAACAGCTCGTAATGGCCGCCCGCAAGGACCCAGCCATTGTGGCCTTCAACCTGACGGATGGATGAAACACTCGCTCGACGATACGGCATCCGAATTCGGTACTGCACAAACAGAGCTCAGCGGCATCTACGTCAAGACGTTTATGGATATTGACGGTGACGATGCGTCATATGGTGCAAAGGCAGCATTGCCCCTCACCAACTCTGTCACGGATGATTCGACCGCTCTCTCTAACAGGGTGGGCGACGAATAACAATATTCGTGTATTTGTCAGCGGATGTATCTGTATTCGGAGTATCGCAAATATTGACGATATTCGTTGCTTAGTCAGCTAGCTGGCAGTCAAGTTTACAGCTGTATGGTCACAACTGGCCAGCTGTATACCCACGCTTGCCAGCTGGCATTGCCAATTGGCACAACCAATGAATATTTCGATGCCCAACGCAACCAAACCACTAAAAATCTGCTAAATCCTTCTCATTCTCATTATTTTCTCACCAAAGGAAGATTTCTTTCATTTCTGAGGATTCTTCAACCTCCAGAGATACACGCCGAGCTCCAAGCCTAGTTCTGGAACATACTCAACCGCCTCAAGATGGAGAGCCAGCACAAAAGGGCAAAAACCGTATGTATTATTGCAAATATTGCTTAGCATGGAGTGCTCAAAACACAACTAACTTCCGACAACACCTTCAATCAAAGCACGGGATCATAGCTCCTAACCAACTGAGAAATGTTGACAAGCTCAGCAACACTACATTGCAATCTCTATATGAGAAAGCAATGACAATCAACCAGACTTCTGAACTTGATGCTCAAATCTTCAAACGAGCGCTAAATAAAGAAGTTATTACACAGGCGATTGTTTTGCTTATTGCGGTCGAGAATCTTCCTTTCCGGATCGTCGAAAGCCCTCGATTCCATACGCTCTGCAAAGCTCTCAATCCATCAGTATCAAACGAAGTCGTTTCAGTACATTCCACAATCAAAGAACACATCAAAAAATCTTGGCTTTTTCACAAAGATATCGTTCGGAAAAAACTTCAATCATCTCGCTCAAAGATTCACCTTTCCATCGATGTCTGACTTCTCTGAATCAGAAACTATTCCTAGCAGTTTGTGCTCATTTTGTGGATTTCGAATCAGAAACCCTCCAGAAGGCACTTATCAGACTTCTCGGTCTTCCATCTATCACATCACATCATGCAGTAACTCAATACGAAGCGCTTTTATTCGTCCTTTAAGATTATAACATATTATCGAAGATTGAGACAATCATTAGCGACAACGCTTCAACAAACAACAATCTTTGCAGAATCTTCGAAGCAAATCTCAGTGAGAAGGAAATTTCTTGGTCATCATCGGACAATCGAATACGATGTAATGGGCATATCATCAATCTTGCTGTCTAGGCATTTCTATTCAAGAAGGTGGATAATCAGTATGAAAATAGTGAAGCAGAGGAGGCTGAGATCTCTCTTGATCTTAGTCCTCTTATCAAACTCCACAACATCATCACCCATATCCGAGGATCCCCGACTCGAATAAATCAGTTCATTGAACTTGCTGGCCGAATGATACCTTTGGATAATTCTACACGATGGAACAGTTGGTATTTGATGATCCAAGTTGCACTTGAAAAAGAAGGTGCAATTGATTCATATATCAAACCGTGATATGAACCTCTCCGAAAGGATTATCTTTCTCCAGACGATTGGGAACATCTGCGATTAATATTGGCCTTTCTACAACCATTCTATCGAGCAACAAAAATGACCGAAGGAGATCAAGCAACAATTGACCGGGTTTTATTTACTATGGATGTTCTTGCTCAGCACTTTAAGAATAGCTTTTCGTTACACGAATCCAACCCTTTCCTATCTTCTCTGATCTAGAAAAGCTGGGCTGTTTTCGACAAATATTACCTAAAGACAGAGGAGTCTCCGTTTTATGCAGCAGCGGTAATTTTTCATCCATCACGACGAATTTTATTATTACAAACCACTCGACTGTTAGGGTCGTCTGTCTGTAAGGGAGCACGGGCTCCACAGAATGCTGGGGTTGGTAATTATGAAGATAGAACAAAGGGCAAGCTCCTATCGCACGGGTAATACAGTCAAATCGGAATGCCACTCAAAGTGTATGAGTGCAGTGAATGTGTATTGCTTGCTTGAAGAACCAAGCAAGAACTATCTAAGACCGTAGGTACGGTCATCGTATATATCTATCTGTGTAACCAATAACAATGGTCGCAGGGTCCCGGCCCCCGTGCCCGGGACGCGGGACCTGAAAGAAAGTGTAAGAGAAGGTAGGTACGCCTGATCAAGGTGGTCACAATGCAGGCAAGAAGGTAGGGGAGCAATGACTTGTATTGGTGTAAGACTTCAACCTGGCCCTCGCAAAGGAAGATGGGCGAGGGCCATTGTTTATATACCTGCTCAGGGGTTCGGCCCGGGCATCAGTCTGCGGTCGTGGCGCCACGGCGTAGCGTATGCCAGCTGGCAGTGTTCTAGCCAGTTGGTGACAAGTGGTGGGCGCGCACCCTGTGCGCGCAGTTGGTGTTTGGGGTGTCCTTTTCCTTACAGAAAGGTCCTGTGTCCCGCGAACGGGAAACGGGACACCTCTTATTGGCTGTCAACCAGGCCCGGTCCCATGTCCCACGCCTCTGGCGTGGGACACTCCTGATTGGCCGAGATTGACTCAGCAGAACCCACCGAGGTGCATCTCTTCAGAGATCCGTAACACTGTGCTGGTATTCCCGGGTTGGGCTGTGGTGGCAGACCCAAACAGGCCAAAACAGGACGAGCGAGTAGAGTGGGCCTGGGTAGAGCACTTCTCAGGGCAGCCCAAGCCTGTGAAGTCCGAGTCGGGGGCCGTCTGGAAAGCAGAGGTCTTCGACGCAGAAGTCGTCGCAATCTATAGAGCAGTAAAGAAAGCAGCCAAGGGGCGGCCGGTTGAGGTGAGGGTGTACTCCGACAACCTCACCGCGGTAGAGAGCTGCAAATAGGCTAAGGAGATGGGCAATGCTCTTGATGCGGTAAATCCGAAAGCATCAAAAAAGACGTAAAAGTGATAATTTTTTCTAAGCTTGATGGGCGCGAGGCATTTCCCAAAAGTTGGTCACCGCTAGTGTCACGTGCTAACATGGCCTGTGCGCTAGCGTGGGTCTAAACCGGTGCGTCCGGCTAGCGCCAAACGCCATCAGTGGGGCTCCCACCAGCGCTCTACGAAATGAAGCTATTTACACTTTTTCGTGCATTAGTTTTATAGTCTTGCAGCCCGGCATCTTGCTCGCAAAAGCTCCAAAACAGTCAAAAAGCACATCATCTTATTTCCCTCAATCAACACTCAAAGCCCATCACAATGACCGGCACGCGCAGAGCTCTGCACGGCACGCGAAACGGCCAAAGTCGCCAGCGCTCAAAGCAACGACTCCGACTGTGAAGAATCTTCAGAGGCCCAAGCGTCACAGACCCATACAGAGCCGCCGAGGAACCCATGACTATATAACCGCCTATGGTAGCCTGGGTTAAGGTATAGGGTGAGAAGAAAAGGAAAGAAATAGTACAGGCTTGGTGGGAGTCGGCAGCTCCAGGGAGCTACAAAAATCTAGGGCTAGGACTGTACCCTGATACTTGGGGGCTAAGCAGAAAGGAGATGACACGGCTAGTAGCGTATAGGTTAGGATATGGGAGGTTTGCATCCTATCTTAGAAGGTTTATCACCGACGCAGAGGACCCAGAATGCCTTTACGAGGCCGTAATCGAGCCGGAGCACTTGGTACAGTGCTCACAGAGGAGAAAAGTGGTCCACGAGGCCAGAGAAAAGTACGAGATTGACACGGAGGTCGAGGTATATCAGTTTTTCTTAGGAAAGAGATATAAAGGAGTAGATGCTAGAGAGCTCCCCAGATTTTTTATGTAATGAAGGCAACAGGCCGGTAGTGGAGGAGGTCAACAGCCCGCTTGCTATGCGGCAAAGGAGTGTCGGCTTGGCTTTTTACCAGTACATGTAACACTACTGCTGCAGCCTTCCAGTAAAACCTCCGATACCATTATACACGACGGGGGCGCCAATTGTTCCAACCAATAATTCGTAGAACTAATGACAAACAGATCTGATTCGTCATGACCATTGTGTTTATACCTGCCTAGTGCTGACAGGTCAGAGCCTGCCGATTAAAGCAAGCGTTGTGTGTCAGCGTAGGGTAGATGGTTTGTGAACGTATTGGTAAATGGTCGTATGCTGTTGTGAAACGATGTTGCGAGGTCCTCCAAGTCCTTTATGTTACTGCTCTGTGCGACGGCTAACTCGTAGCTGTAGATCATCACTCGTCCCATTGGGTGATGAGTATCTTCCCCGGTGAGGTCGAATGGTAGGGCGTCTCGTAGCCACATTTAATTCTCGTCCCTCTCTTTGAAAGATCCGAAAGGGTGTCCGCCAAGGCCAGATATCGTAACAACATCGACTTTATAGTCCTCTAGAGGTGGAGCAAAGAGGGTTATGATGCTGTAGAAGCCATTGTCAAGTATTACGTACTGGTCGCCGGAGGGCCGATCCTCGGGCGGCTCCGGTAACAGGATGCGCCGCGTCGGACCGGGTGAGGTAGCGTTCTTAAAGGTGACCGTGACAGTGCTGGACTTGCCGTGGATCTCGGGGGTAAGGGACTTGACGATGGGGGCAGCTAGACGATAGTGATCTTCTAAAAAGGATTGTACGTCTCTAGTGCTCTAGTGCAGAGGCACCGCGCGGGGGCGAAACGTCTTACCGCCTCTCGGCGGCATCGTTTCTGCCTTGAGAGCATCGTCCCGTCTGCCTGCCGGTCCGCCGTTTGTTGCTTCCTGGTGTGCCTCTTCAACTTTATGACTGAGTTTGCTCGGAGGGGCGCGCGATGTTGTGCTCGAAAGTGTAAGCAGTAGTGCTGGATCAAGGGAGGTGGAGTCATTTGCTGTCGCTTGCGAGATCGAAGAGGCTGTTGTGATGGGAGGGGCTGTCGTGATCAGACGGGCTGTCGTGACCGGCAGAGCGGCTTACTCTGAAAAGGCGGGGAATAGAGCTCGTCAGTAGGGAACACAAGGGGTTAGGATTATGCTGGATTTGTTCGTACGACGGAGCCAGACGCTGGCGAGTCATTCTGTGTCCCCGACCCTTCCTGGCTTCCTTTGCCGCGCCTAAACTGCTTCCGCCACGCCGTGCGAATTAAGCTGCCAGCCATGGCCTTTGTAGGCGCTATTAGCGAGGGACAAAGTCGCTTGATGCTGCGTGAAGATAGACAGGTAAATTCGAAGTCGTGCTTCCTGAACGGTTGTCGCGAAGTTGATGCCCAAAGACATTGAGGTGGCTGCCTCTAGCGCCAACGGAAGTTTCCGAGACACTGTGGCGCGCCTATTCCCAGGCAAGGACATCCATCCTCATTAGGGCGCAAGCGACGAAATAAAATTGCTCCACTGTTGCCCTTGAAATCATTTGCTTCAGCTCATTGAAGAGAAACAATAAAAATGTCCTTGGAAGTAGGCGCAATACTACAATACTGTAGATACCAAGTTCGTCGGGTGGTGAAGCAACGTGGACTTTCGCGTTTTCCGGGGCAAAATGCTACAAGATTCGCTAGGGCGTCATTTGATCTACAGTAACGAAGACGAGGCCAAGGTCTTTTGAATGAGTCAGCAGTGAGGTACACAGTAAGAGCCAGTTCTAGCTTTGTTAGACATTACTTACTCCCTCAGTACCTCCCCGCTACATTGTGACCCGCAAAGCTACACAAGCCAGAGGCCTACTCCGCACTCTTTAAAATAGTTGACTAAAAATTTAGCAACGCTCATTTCGCCTTCCACTGTATCAACAAAGGAGAGAAAATGGTTAAACAGAAAACAGTCCGGCTGACGCGTCGCCATAGTGCTCGACGAGGTATAGAGCGAAATGTGCAAGTGCCGATAAGGTGTAACGTACGTGCAATGACTGCGAACGTGCAAGTGGCGATGAGGTGTAACGTGCGTGCGATGAGCTGCGAATATCTCAGTGCTATCGCGCTCGTCAATCTCTAATGCTGTCGCCGCGTCAATCTCCAGCGCTGTCGCCCCGCGTCAGTCAGAAGTCGCAATTGTCAAATGCAAGGGGCAATAAGGTGTAACGTGCGTGCGATGAGCTGCGAACGTGCAAGTGGCGATGAGGTGTAACGTGCAAGTAGCGATGAGCTGCGAATGTACAAGTACGGCTGTGTGGATTGCTGCGTTGCACGATACCGTGACGGGCAACGGGTGAAGGCCGTGACGGTGGGATGGCTTGCGAGCCAATGCTGTGTCGTTGAAGAGAAGGCCGTGGCGGCGGTTTAGCGGCATGTCAGCAAGGCAGGGCAACGAGAAAAGAGACGTATCTGCTGTTGATGGCTGAGACAAGCCAATGTCGATTGCTGTCGTTAACGGCTGCGGTTTGGCGGGATATTAGCAAGGCCGGACAGCAGGACAAGGCCGTGACAGCTGCGGTGGGATATCAGCAAGGTAGTGCAACGAGAAAAGAGACGCACCTGCAGTTGATGGCTGAGATGAGCCAATGTGGATTGCTGTCGTTAAAGAGAAGGCCGTGGCGGCTGCGGGATGTCAACAAGGCAGGGCAACGAGAAAAGAGGCGCACTTGCGTTGATGGCTGATCAAGATGAGCCAATGCTATGTCGTTGAAGAGAAGGCCGTGGCGGCTGCGGTTTGGCCGGATATCAGCAAGGTAGTACAACACGGAGAAGAGAAGCACCTACGTTTAGCGAGATGGCTGGTTCAAGACGAGCCAGATTGCTGTGTCGTTTCAAAGGATAAGGCCGTGACGGCTGCGGTTTGGCGGATTCAAGACCGATATCAATTGCTACGTGTGTCAAAAGACAAGGCCGTGACGGCAGTATAATACCGAGCCGATGTCGATTGCTGTGTCGTGTTGAAGGAGAAGGCCGTGGCGGCTACGGGATATCAGTAAGGTAGTGTAACGAGAAAAGAGACGCACCTGCGTTTGGCGGGATGGCTGATTCAAGACCGAGCCAGATTGCTGTCGTTTCAAAGGACACGTCAGCAAGGCAGTACAACGAGAAAAGAGACGCACCTGCGTTTAGCGGAATGGCTTGCGGGCCATTGCTGTGTCGTGTCAACAAGGCCTGAAGGCTGCGGGATGGTATAGATTGCTATAGTTATAGGACACCGTGACGGTGTAACGGGTGAAGGCCGTGACGGCGGCGGGATAGCTTGCAAGCCAATGTAGATTGCTGTCGTTAAAGGCCGTGATGTCAGCAAGCAGTGCAGCACAGAGAGAGGAAGGTAGTGCAACGAGAAAGAAAGCACCTACAGTTGATGGCTTGCGAGCCAATGTGGATTGCTGTCGTTGAAGAGAAGGCCGTGACGCTGCAGTGGGATGTCAGCAAGCAGTGCAGTACGGGGAAGAGGTGCAGTACGGGGAAGAGGAATGCAGTGTAATATGGAGGAAAGAAGAGACGTACCTATAATTAATACTAATTCAAGACGAGCTATGTAGATTGCTATATCGTATCGAAAGAGAAGGCCGTAACGGTTACGGTTTGGCGGGATATCAGCAAGGCAGTATAGCGAGAAAAGAGAAGTACCTACGTTTGGCGGGATAATAGTAAGGCAATATAACGAGAAGAGACGTACCTGCGTTTGGCGAGATGGCTAATTCAAGACCGAGCCAGATTGCTATATCGTTTCAAGGACAAGGCTGTAATAGTAGTACGACGAGTATGGTTAAAGGAAAAGGCCGTGACGGCTGCAGTTTAGCTGACTCAAGACAATGTCAATTGCTGTGTCGAAGAAGGCCGCGACGACTGCGGGATGTCAGCAAGCAGTGTAGCACGGGGAGAGGAAGCAGTGTAGTACGGGCAAGAGGAAGACAATAACGAGAAAGAGACGTACCTACGTTAATGGCTGATCAAGACGAGCCAACACTGTGTCGTTGAAGAGAAGGCCGTGGCGGCTGCGAGATGTCAGCAAGGCAGTATGACGAGAAGAGAAGAGACGTACCTGCGTTTAGGGTCCGGGCCCGAGTCTAGACGTGGGGCTGCGAAGCTTGCAGGTGTAATTCAGCATACATGCGTCTAATTAAATGGACTTAATTCGTACGTTTGTCGAACTGAAGAAAGGGCGCCAGGAGTTAGGTAATACGGCGATGTGGAATGATTTCTATTTGAAGCCTCGAGAATAGTAAAAAATCTTCCATAACTAGCGCGCGTGACTAGGCAACGATAGATTAATATTCCTTAATACGGCGTTCATTCCGGCTTCATCGAATACCGGCTCGATCAAGTTCTTCTTTGCCTGGTCGCGAGTCTGACCATCCCTCACCATACTTGCGCACCCATATCTTTCTAGTCTCGTTGTTTCTTGGACACTGTTTACCAACTGCTCAAAGACAGCGTTGAAGGTATGTGGTTTCTATGATTGTTCACTGGATTGATCTTGTGTCACGTGAATGTGGCCGCCGTTGACAGACACCAGTCTAGTCTCCATCTGTGCAGGAAAATCCTGGTCATGTTCAGACAGAAGACAAGCACGCTGCTCATGCTACTGGGTGCCTGCAGTTTCTGTATGCAGGCCTAGCTAGCTACTTATATATTCACCCGTCCAAGACACTACCTCTTCTCTTCTCACTCGTCCGCGCGCTAAGCAAATCGTCATTTTCGTCTTCATCTTCGCTTTTCTCCGACACATTACGCAGAGAGCCGTTTTATTCCCCTCTTGCTAGGCCCGATCACTAAAAATGGCCTCCAACCTGAAGAGAACAAGAGACGAGAGCGAGAGCGAGAGCGGCGAAATCCTGCGTCCCAACAAATTCACCATTGTTGCTGACGAAAGCAACCTCCAACCAGCCAATACCGGTGGCCTCGACACCGTCTCAAGGGTGGTTGTCCGGACAGCGCCATATCGATGCCTTCGACACCTCTCGTCCTGCCTGTGGTCACACTGCCGCTGCGCACGCTCTTCGATCTGCCAGCAGAAATATTTGTCAAGATTTTGGGCTATCTGGGCCCGAGGTGTTTCCGCGAGAACACCCGCCGCCTTAGCATTTCAAAGCACTGATTTGAACTGGCTGGTTTGATCTAGCCTGCGAGTTTACATTTCGACACCTCGAGATTATGACGCGGGAACTGATGGAGCTCGTCCAATGCGAGGGAGCTCTTGAGCGCTTGCGCTAAACTGGCGTCGCATCGGTCGATGTGTGTCTTGAGTATCCAGGCTTGCATCGAAGACCAGCGGAGATCTATGCAATGGATTCGAGGATCGCGACAGTAGCCAGCGCGGTACGCCAGCTCCGCCAGCTAGTGAATTTGTGAATCCGAGATGACGGATCCTATTTCAGCGGTTTCTTTACAACCGACCGGAAATTGACTACCTCGACCAAGTAGGCCAGTGGCATTTTCTCCCTTCCATTTCTGGACTCGGGCATGATGATCACAATCTTGCACCTCGATGTCGTCGGCGGCGATGTCTCCGTAGGCAGCCCGCCCTCCCTCAGATCAGAGAGCCGGCATCGCTCTTTGCTTCTTTTTTTTTCTAGCCATCGTTTACAAATCACGTCTTTTTACCATGAATTGAGATCCCCGGAGCAGTGCACGCAGTGGTGTCTTTTTATTTGTTGTTTTTGACCACCCGGCTATGCAAGTGACCGGGGACTGTAGTCAGATAAGCAGCCAAGGCAAGGTCAATACGGGCTGCGACGCAACACTTCAAGTCACTAAAAGACGACATGTCAAGAGAAGTGGCTTTGGCATAAAGGCAGCAGCCCTTAGTTGCAGACCCAGGCTGAGCCTAGCTATGTGAATTATAGAAGTATTATGTACAGTACTGTGTGCAGATACACAGAGTTGTTATTTTCTTGGGAGAATGAATTTCAGTCTGTTGGTTTGCGGCCAGAAGCTTAAGCAAGTTGCGTGATTTCTCAATCAACAAATCCTGTGGCCTTCACTACCTAATCTCCCTCCTGCAGTGATGCTCTCCCACGGCACAAACGTAGTGTATCTGATGCTCCGGCCCACACGTAGGATATCTGATGCTCCGGCCCACACGTAGGTTATCCGATGCTACGGCCCACACGTAGGATGTCCGATGCTCTGGCCTACATATAGGGTATGCGATGCTCCGGCCCGTGAAAGCAAGGATATAGAAAACAAAAAGAAAAAAACCCCCCACCGTATAAAGCATCCGCCTATATCTAAATACACGCGCCCCTGACCTAACCAGTGAAAGCTACGCTTAAACAGACCTCCCAAGGTCGACGAGGCGAATATCATCGCGATGGTCACCGGCAAAGGTAGAATCGGGCTTCCACTTAGCCGAGGTGCGGGGAACCGTCTCCCTCATCATCTTGTCGACCTGCTCAAGCGAGAGACCCTTCGTCTCGGGGACGAACAGGTACGTATAGACAAACGCAACGGTGCAGAGACTGCCCCAAATGAAGAAGACGGACGACTTGAGGTTTCCGCGGTACTCGCCGACCATGTAGGGGGTAATGACGGCAATAATGGTATTCCACAGCCAGTTGGAGGCGGTTGACAGGGCGACACCACGCGAGCGGATTGGCATAGGGAAGATCTCGCCAATCAAAATCCAAGCGCCAGGTCCCCAGGTCGAGGCGAAAAAGAAGATGAAGACGGCGATGAAGGCAACCTGGGCGTAGACGGCCGAGATATTGTCTGCAAGCGTCTTGGTCGAGTCGCTAGGATCGACGTGGGTGTGGTTGAATCCGACGGTAACACCAGCGATGGCAACAATGAACTGGCAGACGAGCATGCCCGCAGCACCCCACAAGAGGATAGTGCGGCGGCCGAATCGCTCAACGGTCCAGAACGAAATCGGAGTAGAGAAGACGTTGACCAGGGTAAAGACCAGGGAGACCAAGAAGGTGTTACTAATAGCACCGGTCGACTGGAGGAAGGGAGTCGAGTAGTAGAAGATGAAGTTGACACCAGTCCTGGAATCTAGTCAGTATATCGTACTTTATGGTGGCATGCTTTATAGCGGCATGCTTCATAGCGGCACTAAGCGCAGCGGGACTCACCATTGCTGCATCATCTGCAGAGAAGTGCCGAGAATGGTCTTGCGGAGGTTGGAGTTAGCCTTAAAGACGGATCCCTTGAAGCAGTTGGCCCAGGTGCCGAACCAGGTGGTGTCTGGGATTAGCTGGCGCTCGTGCTCTTCGTTGGCCACAATCTCGGCAAGCTCGAATTGGATATACCCAGAATCCTTGGGCTGACTACGGAGGCGCGAGAGCGAGTCAGTAGCGCCGGTGAGGTCGCCCTTCTTGACAAAGTAACGGGGCGAGTCGGGCAGGAACATAAGACCAATTCCGAGAATAAAAGCCCAGATGAACTGAATGGCGATCGGAATACGATACGCACCAGTATCGGGGCGATCCTTGGTTCCGTACACGATGCACGAGGCTGTCATGATTCCAATGGTGATGCAGAACTGGTAACCGGCAACGAGAGCACCGCGGACCTTGCGGGGGCACTGTCCAAGGGGGTCAGTTTCCTCTCCGGGCGGATTACAGCTGAGGGAAGCATGTTGGGAGGAAGCATGTTGGGAGGAAGCATGTTAGGAGGGAAACATATTGAGAAACTTACAATCTCAGCCATATACAGGATGACAACGGCGGACTCGAAGCCGACGCCGACGCCGGCAATGAGACGGCCAACGACAATAGTAGCAAACGGATTACCGGCGCCCGTGATCATCTGGATAGCGACACCGAACATGTAGATAGCGCAGCCCATGATGACGGTCCACTTGCGGCCGATCCAATCGGCGATATCACCAGCGACAAGGGCACCGAAGAAGGTTCCAGCGGACAAGATAGACGTGATTAGAGACAAGTGGGACGCGGAGAGGGCGGTGGCACTAATGCCCTCGACAGCCTCGATAAAGAGCTTGTGGCCATTAACACCGTTGATGTAACCAGAGTCGTAACCAAAGAAGATACCGCCGAAAGAGGCAAATGCGCAGAGCAGGTACGCGCGCCAGGTGACTGGAGCCTCCATGCGCTCGACATGGTTGATGGAAAAACCGAGCTCGCCGACGTGCACGTCGGCGGCTAAGGCCGTTTCCTCATTGAGTGAGGACATAGTCGGTGAATTCACAGGCGGGGGATGTGGGAGAATCAACAGGCGGAGAATGTGAGAATTGATAAGCGGAGGATGTGAGAATTGACGGGCGGAGGATGTGGGAGAATTGACAAGTGGAGAATGTGAGAATTAATAGGCGGAGGATGTGACGCCAGCGATGACTCTCCTGGCGTGAGTATGTTGAAAGCAGCGTGTTAGGCCGGGTCTCTACACGATGTCTGAGAAAATGGTTACTCAACACGATGTGTGAGAAAAATATTGAAAGACCGATAGTGAAAAAGAAGAGAGTAATAAGGGAAGCGGGGCAGGCGAGAGAAACTTTATGTGCTAGGCACGGCCAAGCCTGGCCCAGCTGGGTCCACCAGTTGGCTCCTGCGTGGGCTGCACTCCCTACGACCAGGCACGTCGGCCGATCGGCCCCGCCTAGGGAAAGAGTGCCCCGCCAAAGCAATCAACAGCGAACAATCAACGTCCCTGAACAGCCAACAATCAACGGCCCTGAACAGCCACAACGGCCCTGAACAGCCAAAAATCAACGGCACTGAACGTCTAGATCAACGGCTCACAACCACTTCGTTAACAGCCTGTCTACCCGAAAATAACATCACAGACGACCTCTTTCCATCAGGAATAGCACCTGGAAGTCATCACAATGTCTATCAGCGCGAGAGAACTCATCTCGAACATCCCCAGCTTAAGGGATTGGAGAACATTACCGTCTGGAAGCAACAACTCGTCTATGCGCTCACCGCATTACGCCTTGACAAGTACATCAAGACCTCAGTCGAAGAGCCTGCACCCCGGCAGCAAAGGAATATTAATCGTTGAGGGGCTACCGTCGACAATTATCTTCATGGAACCCTCATGAACCCTTCCGTGACGCAGCTTCTGAAAGCACACGGATGGAATTACATGCAGGAAGACCCGAAAAAGCCTGAAGATGATAAGACTTCTAACAAGAAAAGAAAAGGCAACAAGAGCAACAAGTACGGAGAGAAAGAGACCTGCTCAACATGCAACAAGACAGCTACCTTCAAGCATGGAGGCAACAATCTCACACAACCTCCTGCTAACACAGAGCCATCAAGTCTTCTATTCGAACGCCTGAACTACGTCACTACCGTAGATCACGTCCAGCAGGATTTTTCTTAGAGCCCCCGTCGGCACACCAAAAACGTTGACTCTAGCCAAGCATACCAACGCCCGATACACCTGCAACCTAGTCAACATCAGCTTGATGAAAGAGACAGACATCACCTCGGAGATGGATCGAAACGAAATCGTGGATGCCAAGAGCAGGAAGTTGCTGGCAAAACTCGGTCATGGGGGTGGTTCCATTCCCATTATTCCTTGCAAAGTCATACCCAACCTACCCTCAACGATCACACCGCTTCATGCAATTCTCGCTCTGATCAACCGTTCAAAGGGCTAGAGAAAGATCACTTCTACGAACCCTACATACTTGGTAAAGAAACAGACACGATTTCCAACGTCTCACCAGTTGTGTGCAAAGCCCCACTTGACTATGTGAGGCTCGACTTGATAACTCACAAAGATCCAGCGCATTTGGTAGAAGGCGACCAACCGAAACGAATCGCGATGACCTACGAGCGTTTACAGGTATCGCCCCGAGGCGGCATCTCAGATCTTGACAGTATTATTGAAGCGGTAAAACCGAGAAGCAAAAAAGTGTAAAAGGTGATACTTTTTCTAAGGCTAGGTAGGCGCGGCGGATTTCCCTAAGGTAGGAAATCCCCAGACCCCGCTATGTCACGTGCTAGCGCCGAACGCTATTAGTGGGGCTCCCACTAGCGCTTCACATAATGAAGCTATTTACACTTTTCGTGCATCAATTATCGTACGAAGCCGGTGAGAAGGCGACTAACTAAACCGGGCCGTGAGCGGCATCCCAGATCTTGACAGTAGTATTGCCTGAACCGGATACGAGCCGCTGGCCATCCGGTGAGAAGGCGATATACATACATAAATAAACAAGATAATACTTCAGACTCTTTATTATTTGTTACTAGTAAAATATGAGATGGAAATATGTCAGAAAATAATCATATAACAATAGGTAATATACTTTCTACTGTGAGGACCCGTCTACCAAACTGGCCCTCAAGCAGCCAGAGCTGCCCAGAACCCCCGGGCCTATCAGAAGCCTCCTCGAGGCCCCACCTACCCCACTGATAGATGAAAACTTATTCGCGAGCACGCGACGCGTTGTCGGACTTTTCCTTCTTTCCCTCCTCAGTTTAGAATCTTCGTCGATAGCACCCAATGGACTGAGTTCACCTCAATGCCTTGCCCTGGTCGTGACAGTTGGAATAACATACTGGAATGACGCGCTGATCCAAAGAATGCGGCTCCGCATTCCTGGCCACAGCAACGTCTGTGGAGGAGCGGGCGTGACAGATGCATATATATTGGCCTACGCCCACCTGTTCAGATAGATAAAAAGACAAGACAGACACAAACGAATCCATCACTTGAACCACCACCTTACGGCGCGCAGCGCGCCATGCTGTTTCCAGTACCGGTACCCTGGTGATTCCTACAAATACCTTTCGTAACGAGTATTATATTTTATATTTACGGCCGCCATAAAGGCGATCCAGAACCTCCTGTTGCCCGCCCGCAAAGGGGATCTGCACCACACGCACAAGATAGATGCCCAATCCCACAGCTGCGACATGCACGCCAAACGCCACTGTCTGGGCCGGACCGTGGATCCAAAGAGAGAGACGGCCTGGGATTATGCCCGTCGTAGGAAAGAAGAGAGAAAAGGCCTCTTCATTTTTACCCGAATTCGCGCCTTGTGCGTTCCCAAATCGTTTAAACGGCTTCGGGAGGCGCCAATAGTTTCTTTTGTGATTATCGTCGCGAAGGAGATGGCGCTGATGGAGACGTCGCGCGGGCTCATGAGCAACGGTAAAGTGGTCAAGCACGAATCGTTGCGACGCGTTGCGATCTGAACTCGTGGGCGCCAAAAAGTCGCATGAAAACGCGCGAGCTTCTTCGCAGACACTGTAGGCCTACCCAATTGACGCGGCCCATAATATCTAGTTCCTCAATTGAAGTAGTACAACACTAGGAAATGACAATAACTAAACCAGAAATAGATGAATTAGACAATTCTCTAGCTTCCCGACACGTGCGTGTATCATGGCTAGGGTTCACCAGCCGCGGGCCCAGCGACGCGAACTTGTTGAACCCCTTGGCGTACGTGTACTGCCCGCCGCACGACTGCTAGAAGAAGCGCGCCGTCAAAACGAAAGACCAGAAGAGAAATGTAGACCAAGATCCCGGTGCCCCTGCTAAGCTAGTTCAATTCGCAAACGACTGAAAATAAATAGTGCTGTCGGTTACATGATCGCCAAAGAAGAGAAGGCTGTCAAGAAGAGCGACGCCGCGATCAACAGCCGAGACAAAGCCATTGCCGAACGTCAAGCCGCTGATGGACGCTGCAAGGATGCTAATAGGTCAGGACAAGCAAACGGCAAGGTGGGAAACACGGCGTATCTGCTCACTTCTTGGCCGCTTCATGGTGCAACTTCCGGACACCAGCGAGCAGACACTAGATGCAGCGCAGCGCGGCGTGCGTGTCACGGCATGGACGAGTCGGCCGGTTTCTGGGGCCCAGGACAGGCCATCCAGCGCCCGGGAATTTGTTGGTGCCGCTACAAGCGTGGGAAACTCCAAAAGCAAGCTCGCGCACGCCGGCGCCATCTCTTTGGCGAGAGACGTGGGAACGTCGAGAGCAATATCCAACAGACCTTCCGGAACCAGGCCGACTTGCTTGCTCTTGATCTTCTCGACAATGACACTGGGGTCTGCTGCTGTTTTATACTCGAGGCACTTGAACCAAGGCAGAGCCAACCTTGTCTATTGACTTGTTAAATCGAGTACTGCCGCTTTGGCGAGGAGGACTTCATAAACCCGGACCCTCACGCCAGCTTTGAAGTCCAGGCGGTGGAAAAAGGCATACAGGCCGGGAGTTATGGGCAATAGGAGATCTCGGCGCGGTGCCTTCGGGGGAGCCGTGTTTGAGGTAGGCAGGGAGTGGTCGAGAGGGTCACCGAGGCACCACGAGAGGTGCTCGGGAGAGCCGTGTTCGAGGGAGGCATGGAGTGGTCGAGAGGGTCACCAGGCACCACGAGAGGTGCTCGGGGAAGCCGTGTTCGAAGGGAGGCAGGGAGTAGTCGAGAGGGTCGCCGAGGCACCACAAGAGGTGCTCCGAACAGCACGCGGCCCGGTCGTGACAGCTTCATCGGCACTGCTTTCTACCGTTGCACGCGCACTTTTTCTGCCTTTGGCAGGCATGGCGAACCGGACAATGGTTCCGAGGATACGGAGACCGACTTGTCGACTTGCGGCATCGCTAGCACGTTTGAGGGTTGATTTGAGCACTGGAATAGGTTTGCCCATTTGAGACGAAGAGAATGCAGCTATTTACATCTATTGCGTTGGCACCCCCCTAGCTACTCGAGAAGTGGAGATTCCACTCCCGATTTTGAGAAGCAATGGTTAAAGACTAATACAGAAAAAGCGCAGTAGAATGGTGGCTCGATTCTGGTGATTAGTTAAAGACTGATGATGTAGAAAAAGTGCAGTAAAATGGTGGCTCGATTCTGGTGATTGGTTGAAGACTGATGCAGAAAAAGTGCAGTAGAATGGTGGCTCGATTTTGGTGTTGGTCAAAGACTGATGAAGATAATTATCATCCAAATACAAAGGTGAGAAAATGCTCCCAGCTTGCATTCAAGTTCCTTAGGCGTTAGATACGACGAGCCTCCTGTTTGTCTGTTAACTGGTGCTTCATATTGCCTCACTTCCATCCGATCGAGTTTGCCTTTGTCGTGGGTGCCGTTTCCTGCCCCCTCGCACGAGATTGACCTCTGTGAGGAGTCCGTGGTGCCTGGTATTGTGTCGAATGACCCCATCAGCTTCTCGAAATTCCAACCCACCCCACTTTCTCGCCACCTCGACTCCCGAGTCTGGGCAAGGAAACAAATCGTCTGACGTCTTCGCACCTCCTTCCCCCGCTCGCCGCCCGTCAACTCACGCGGCACATCTACCTTACCTACGTGGCCTGCCGCACCCTCTCGCTCGCCCCCACTTTCCCTTCTTTCTACATTTTCATTAGCTTGTCTTTTTCAAAACATCCGCCATGAGATCTAGTGTCTACTTGGCCGTCCTGGCCGCCGTGAGCGGTGCGACGGCGTTTTGGCGCATGGAATGCCACAGCCGTCTTGGTATTGCCCGCATCGATCCTCTGATCTCGCCTGGCGAGGTTGCACAGCACGCGCATTCCATTCACGGGTCCTCGGGTAAGATCATACCCTACTGTCTAGGGGAGGGCCCACAGGCCAGGCTCACTCAAGCCTACTTTCTCCCATGTCGCTAACATAAGAGCGCCTCTGTTAGGATTCAGCGAGAGCGCTACCTACCAGAACCTGATAGATGCAGACTGCACTTCTTGTGCCGTCACGCAGGACAAGTCTGTCTATTGGCACCCCTCGCTCTACTTCCAGCACGCCAATAGAACCTACGAGTCTGTCGAGCAGGTTGGTGGCATGTTGGCGCAAGTAAAAATATGTTTCGAACTCTGGGGCAGCAAACTCGGGGCAGCAAGATTCTAACATTCATCCACCCAGCTACTACTTCTTGTACGGCGACGATGGTAGCAAGAATCCCAGCATCACGGCGTTTCGGAGCGACTTCCAAATGATCGCCGGCAACAGCCTCCGCCGCAGCTACTCGATTGCAGGATACAGCGCCTTTAACGTAGACCCCGAGAAGTCTTTCTGGTCCAAGCTCGGTCAGACATCGCAAGCCGACCTCGCCCAACGAGCCCTTGGCTTCAACTGCCTCAACTACGATAAGCAACCCGAGGGATCGCTGTATCGTCATGTCCTGCCTGACAAGTTCTATCTCGACGCCAACTGCGCCGACGGAGTGCGGTTCGAAATCATGTTTCCTTCGTGCTGGAATGGCAAGGATCTCGATACAGAAGATCACAAGTCGCACGTTGCGTACCCGGATCTCGTTATGAACGGAGCTTGCCCTCAAGGATTCGACGTCAAGCTGCCCGGTCTCTTTTACGAAACCATTTGGGCTATAAACGCATTCAATAACGTCGATGGCCGATTTGTGATTGCGAACGGCGATGTTCACGGTATGTGGATACAATCTACGATTAGTTCACGGCCCGATGTATTAACACGCTCGCTTTTGCAGGTTTTGGCTACCACGCAGACTTCATGAACGGCTGGAACCCGGACTTCCTTCAAAAAGCTGTCGAAACTTGTACTAACGCTTCTGGCAAGATCCAGGACTGCCCAATATTTGATATCCAGAGCCTTGAAGACCAGCAGAAGTGCAGTCTGAAAGTGCCCAACGCACTCGTTAGCGAAAAGATTGTGGGTCTTGTCGGCAACTCTCTCCCCGAAGACGTTGCTATCCAGTATGAGCCAGACTCGGCTATGGTTAAGAACCCGGCACTACCAACCACCACTCAGGAGCTACCATTGGTGGGATACTCGGAGGGTGCTCAAGCTACCGGGACCGCATATCAGCCTGGACAAATATTCAAGCAGTCATCTTCAGCCGCCGTCCCATCTCCATCCGTTTCCTTGTCTAAGGTTACCGCCGCACTTGCACAGGCCACTACTCCTCCAACCCCAACCGAAGCTACTGCCCCGGCTGCTGTGGATGGTTCCAAGTACGAGGTTGTTAAGACCGATTACATTACTGTCAGTGATGTGGTGAGTATGATCATTGTGAAGGAGGCGATCGACTATGTCACCATCACAACCACCACGGCGACCGCCACTGGGTTGGCGAAAGCACGTCGCGAGGTTTACATGCACGGGCACCTTGGTCGACACAGGCACAATGGGCACCGCTACATATTCTAATAGAGTTTGGTTGAGACGTCGTCTTGCTTCTGTCTATAGCTGGGCTCTCTTTACCTCTCTATGGCGTGCAATGCAAGCTTCTTTTTCCACCTTTCCCTGCATCTTGTAGTGGCCTTTTATCTGCCTTCTTTTTTCTTTTTTCCATCACGGATCTGAACGAGATTCATATCACAATGGATATCACAGAACTCCATGTGAGAGATTTTGGGGGCACAAGGTTTGGAGGATATTGCCGTTCAGGATCTGTGAGAAGGCCCCCATTTGCCTGTGGAATGTGGGATAGCGAGATTTGGGATATTTTCCACGTTAAGCCTTTTCTGCGGCACAGTACGTAGATAGGGAATTGTTAACATGGCGGCCAAAGAAAAAACACCACATCAATTGAGGGGAAAAGAGTGCTTTCTTTCTTCCAGAAGGAAAGAGAGAGGGGCATAGCCTAGATACTCTACTTCGTGTGCATCTTTCGTATGCATCCTTTGCTTCTTCGTTGATTTATGCCACCTATGGCTTTTAGTGAGTGCGCTACGCATGCAGACCCTCGTCTTCTTCCGACAGAATTTGCCTGGTGTGTTTGTCCTTTAGTGACCTAGCCTGCGCACATCAAGACTAGAATGTGCGCAAGAGAAGCTTTGTTAGAGTAGATAATGTGTGCATTGGCTAACTAACTCATGAAGGGGGAAATCTCCCTACTAAATCTGTGGGCGGAATCCCCAGGGCGGGGCTAATGCCCACGTACCCAGTCATGACGGGGCAACCCCGCTACAAACTTCTTCTCCATGACACGACGAAAGCGGCGTTCACAGCGAAAAAGAAGGAAGAAATATGGGTGAGAATAAAAAATTGTGGCCAGACACGCCCCGAAGGTCGTAATCTGGCAGCCGGCGCCGCGGAGTGCTATGCAGGCTAGCTACCATGGAGCAGAGGGTTCTTGATCTCCCCCTACTCCTGGCCAGGTTAGAATTATGGAAAAAAAGAAGAAGAGAGAGGAAGACGCGAGAGGAAGACGGGCCTTTTTATTCAAAAAAAAGTTGGTCCGTGTAGGAATTACCGATCAATCAGGTCAGCGTACGGGCCACACCCGCCCAACACGTGGCCCAGTACGTGACTGCGAGGTACCTTGACTGAGCGCCTTCGAGTCCCTGTAGTTAGTGATCCTTTGGTAGACACGGTGTTTGGCAGACTTGGTAGAAATGGGAGAATACGAGCAACACAACCACGCCACCCTTCGCAACAGTTGCTACAGTGACTAGTACGAATAAGCTGTCATTCCAACCTGATCAGTGGTTCTAACCTAATCAGTGGTTGACCGACCAGGTTAACCGCAGAACAGCAAGGATTCCGACAGTGGCAGTGATTGTGTCCCCACGATAGCTGGACAGGAAGCGGCACCAAAGACTGCATTTAAGAGGGCACTGAACGCAGGACTTCGAGCGCGAAGAATGCTCTTCAACGCACGGGACAATCGAGACAAAGACCTCAAGGGCAGCCGAAAGAAAGGCCCTGCGTCCACGCAACACCCCCCAGCATCACCGATCCACGCTGGGAAGAAAAGCTCGGCCCGTACCAACCTCAAACACTTGCTCAAAGGCTAGTCGACAACGAAGAAATCACATCACAGCAGCTCGTCATTCTAAGGCAGGAAGGCCCCCGAGTGGCCAGAAGAGAAGCCCCCGAGTGACCAGAAGAGGAGCCTCCGAGTGGCCAGAAGAGAGGCCCCCGAGTGGCTAAAAGAGGAGCTCCCGAGTGGCCAGAGGATGAGGTTGAATAATAATACATAGAGAGCCAAAGAGAGAAGTTCCAGTCATAGCGCAACCCGTACTTCAATAAAGATATCCCTATAACAGCCTCCGCCCTGTTAGAGAAGAATAATACCCTCAAGGCCCCATCAGGCCCGATGGCCCCGACTCCGTCAAGCTCCATAACCCCGCAGGCCCCATGACCCCGACTCCGCTACCGTTAGCCTCGACCACGTTGAACACGACTGCCACCGAGAACGGACCCCTCGAAACACATACGAACGGACCCCTCGATACACCTACATACCTGACCAACACCTACATTCCTGACCAACGCAACACGGCGAATGTTGACAGACCTCGCAAGGATATACACCAACGAAGAGAAGTCTGGAGGCGGGCTCTATGATATCTTAGACTCAAAGATGCAGATCTTCGTAGAGAATTGTAGGAAGATGGGCATTCCATCTCACCTACACCACACGGCATGCTCAGTCATGCTGAAGGATAGAGCCAACCAGGTCTACTTTGACCGTTTGATGAAGGAAAACCTCAACTTTGACAACATAGTCAGCCGCACTAGAGAGTTTTTCCATAGCCCGGAAGACCACCAGTTGTAGATACAGGAATGGAGATCAACAACCTTCCTACGCGTCAAGGCAAATCCCGAGAAGGACCTGGCACAATGCTTCGAGATCCTCGTCAACAAGCCCCAGAAGATCTACAAGGGGCTGTCAGCCCAACAAGTCTGACCAGGGCTGTCAGCTACCAACAAGTCTGACCGGAGCCTAGCGGAGCAACTCTCAACGCATGCCAGGGTATCGAGCATGCAAGATGGTGACAATGAAGCCAGCTTCGAGAAGACTATACTTCAGCAATACAACCCTGCCGACAACCCGGACGGTTTGACCGCTACTGGGTAGACCGAGGGTATGAAGGCCAATCAAGTAGTAAAGGAAGCTTCCGAGCTAGCTCCCGGTAAGTAGTGAGCCGACGGCGGCCTCTGTAGTGAACCACGCAAGTAGTTCAACAGCAAAGGCAAGGCACAACCAATGCAGACGATATATACAGGACTAGGGTAGCGAGGATGACTTCGCTGCATTCTTTATAGAATACGAAGGCGTTGATACCGGCGAATCTGAAATATATTTTCGATAGCTTAGCTAGGATTGCAGATGCAATTTTCCCGTATTGCTAGACGACGCTGCTCGCACCCTGCTGCTCGTATACGCTGGCAAGGCTGATGAGTGACGTTCCCGATTCTGAGTGGCCATTTTTTGTGCAGCTCTGCCAGAATCGCAACTGCGATTCGTGCAACGTGCCTGCTGGCTCTGACCCCGCATAAGCACTCGGCACACTGAACAGCACTCGGCACAATAAACAGCACCAGAACAAGTGGGATGAAGCCAACGCCGAACCGACGCCGATGCCAATGTCGGCAACTCTGCAGACGCCACCCGGCCAAGCCCTGCTATGATGCGCCTCTTCGCCCTGCTGCGATGCCGCCTCTTCCTCTGAGCGTGGAACCGGGGCAGCCGAAGCCGCCAGCCGAAGCCGCCAGCCGTCCTCGAGCACCGGGAAGCCGATGCCGCTAGCCGTCTCTCGAGCCCCTTGACTACGCCGCCGACTTTAATGAGATGGAGAGCAAAACTCGACGTCTCATCTCGAACCTCTATAGGCGGCAACATTAGTAGGATATACGCACATAACCTTGTGGTCCCGAACATGCCCGCTTTGGTCGCTTCGCTCGCACAACGCCTTCCTGCCCAGCTGAGAGACTTTGGGTGAGAATACCGGCAAGGGGAGACTGGGAATACCGTCGAGGGCAAAATATGGCCAGCCAGAAAGATTTATAGCGGGAATACTGTCAAGGGGGAAAACACGGCCTTGTGTTTCCGAACAACTGTCAGGGCCTTGTGTCTCTGAACAACTGTCAGGGCCTTGTGTTTCCGAACAGCTATCAAAGTGGAAGCGGTCTGAGGAGCCGGCTGTTGTTGCTTCGGCTCTAGCACTGCGGCGGTTGTTGCGGCTGTTGCGCTGCTACTGCTGCACCGTGCAGATCGAGAGAAGCGACAACTTCCGGAGAGACGCGACAACTTGAAACGGGGAGACCAAAACAGTGGGAGGCGATCAACGCGGATGCGAAGAGAGGACGGCACCGTCATCTGCACGATAGATACGGCGCCGGAGCTGCGGAATTTTGGCAACGTGGCCGCTCATGCTCGCCGTCGCAATGAAGCTGCCGCCCCGGTAGCCGGCCCCGAGCTCCTGGCCGTCGACCGTTGTCCCTTCCTTCCGCTGCCGCCACCAGGGCGTCCCCGCCGCCCGCGCGCAATGGTAGGTGCCGTCAAGGTTAGTATTGACAACACGTCAGTAGTGCTCGACCTTGCCGTCGAGCATCGGGCCGTCCTCCCATGTTACCCCTGGGTTGGCCACGAACATGTCGAGATTAGACCGCAAATGACACCCCCAAGACCCAGCTGACCCGAACGTGTGTGTGCCATAGCAACGTGTCTGCTAAACTCGTCACCCTCTAGGTTCGAGGCTGCCTGGGCTGGCGACTTGGAGAGAATCAAGACCTCTACTCTCACAACGTGGGATGAGTACAAAATAGAAGCCCCACCCAAGATTGCTGTCATCCACCTGTCCTGGTTCCTGCCTGCTACTAGGTGCTACGGAGCAAGGTAGCCACCGCCTCCACGAAGATGCGTCGCTATCTGTGGCCCGCGGAGTGCCGGGCATGCGACGGCTGTGAGGCTGATATTATTCTTGTGTTTCTGTCCACAACGGCGGCAAGATATAAACGCCGATCAACCTTGGTTCCGTGTGCGAAGACCCAGCGTGGGGTGTTAAAGTTGCTTTAGTGTGGTAGATGTGTTTACCAGAGCCGGGCTCAGTTGCCTTGGACGTGTTGTCTTAGTCCTGGGGAGCGTGGTCGAGACCTGAGCCTTTGTCAGGAGAGCCGTCTTGCCCAGGGTGGCAACTGCTGTAACTGCTACAACTAGGGTTCGCTCGCTGTGTTGACATTGTCTTAGACTAGGAGAGTGTGGTGAGACTTGGGACTTTGCTAGGAGCCGTCTCTGTTCGACACTTGCCTAGGGGGGTCTGCTGCAACTGCTACAACTCGGGGTAGCCCGCTTGTTGACCTTGTCTTTGAACATATCTTAAACCTGGAGGAGCGTAGTCGAAACTTTGTCAGGAGAGCCATCTCTGTTCGAACTTGCCCGGGAGTAGCAACTGCTGCAACTCGGGGTAGCCCGCTTGTTAACTTGTCTTTGAACATATCTTAGACCTGGGGGAGCGTGGTCGCACGCTACTTGTTAACCTAGAGCATCCGTGGGTTGTGTGAGGAGCTGTAAGAGAAGGCAGGTACGCCTGATCAAGGTGGTCACAATAGGAGCAACAAGCAGGGCGAGCAATGACTGGTATTAGCGTAAGACTTCAACCTGGCCTGAGCTAAAGAGGTGTGCGAAGGCCATGGTCTATATACACGTGAAAGGGGTTACGAGTCATCCTTGCGTGGCCAGGGTGGTAGTGGCGATAGTGCGTAGCCCTGGTAGCAGTAGCGATAGTGGCGAGGTGAAGGGTGATCGTCACCTAGATCACGGAATGCGGTAGGCTATTCGTGAAAAGGTAGGTAAATTGATGATCGAGGGAGGAAGCTCGGGAGCACTGCCCTGCCGAGGACCTTAATGTGGTCCTTTGGTGGGGCAGACGCGGTCTAACCGCGTCAGGGTAAGCCCCGCTTCCCTATGTACCTATGTACTTAAATTACACGTGCCGGTCATATGACCTTATCTTGGCGCTCCCTCGCTCAATCAGGCATCACGAGGGTAGCGAGGGTAGCCCTAGTGGCGGTGGCCATGGTGGTTACGAGGGTGGTCTCCTTACATTCCAACGTAGCTTTTATTTGGAAGTTCATTGATAGTGTCGATAACCCCGGTCTGTTAATATATATCCAGGAGTCGCTGGCTACTATCCTCTCTAAGTATGTTGTAAGAGAAGGCAGGTACGCCTGATCAAGGTGGTCACGATGGAGGGAACAAGAGGGCGATGTCACGAATCCCTGTGGATTCCCTGTGGTTATGCACCAAGGTGGGGCATGCACTTTTGGCGCGAGCCAATCAGGAGTGTTCCAGGATTCCGAGCTCTGGAGCTCGGGGACGCGGGACAGGTCCGACCGGGCGGTGACCCGGACGCGGGACCACGGGACAACGGAACCACTGTTATTGGTTACGTAGATAGATATATACGACGATCGTGTCCACGGTCTTAGATAGTTCTTGCTTGGTTCTTCAAGCAAGCAATACATATTCGCTGCACTCATACACTTTGAGTGGCATTCCGATTTGACTGTATACCCGTGCGATAGGAGCTTGCCCTTTGTTCTATCTTCATAATTACCAACCCCAGCATTCTGTGGAGCCCGTGCTCCCTTACAGACAGACGACCCTAACAGTCGAGTGGTTTGTAATAGGCGAGCAATGACTGGCATTGGTAAAAGACTTCAACCTGGCCCTCGCAAAGGAAGGTGGGCGAGGGCTACTATTTATATACATAGTTGGGTGGCTCAATCTGGCGGGTGGCTGGGCCGGGTGTTTGGGGCCAGCTGGTCGCCTGTGTCACGACCAGGGCAAGGCATTGAGGTGAACTCAGTCCATTGGGTGCTATCGACGAAGATTCTAAACTGAGGAGGGAAAGAAGGAAAAGTCCGACAACGCGTCGCGTGCTCGCGAATAAGTTTGCATCTATCAGTGGGGTAGGTGGGGCCTCGAGGAGGCTTCTGATAGGCCCGTGGGTTCTGGGCGGCTCTGGCTGCTTCAGGGCCAGTTTGGTGGACGGGTCCTCACATTACCCCCTTCCAAGCTCTGAGCGCCTGGCGTTCAGGAAGCTTGAAAGAGTACCGCGGGGGCAATTCAAGTATGCCTGGTGGCATGCTTCTTCTTTGTCCTCCCCCCCGTCGCATCGTGTTCCGCCACTTCATCATCCTTATGATCGCTACTGAAAGCATCGTCTGCCGCGTCTCGTATCCATTGCTGTAATCTCACTGGCGGACCAGCAGCTTCCGGGTGTTCTTTGTGGAAGGACTCCAGCAGCAATGGAGAGTTCTTGAGGTCGCCAGCTGGATACCAGGTTTCGTCGGGATCCAGGCCGACCCAAGACACTTGGTATTGGAGCTTCTTTCGTTGACCGAACAGTCGCGATGCCAGAACCTTCTCGACTTCCCACTCGGGTTCTCCATTGATCTCCACAGGGGGTTCCGGTTCTGCCCGTTGTTGAGGTAAAGGGTCCTCAGAAGCTTTTCTCAGCCTGTCAGCGTGAAAGACCTTACTTCCCTTGTACCATGACGGGGTGTCTAGGACGAAGCTGTGGCCTTTCATGTCGACTATAGTCCAAGGTCCGGCGTTCTGGGAATCCAGCTTAGTTGTTGGTGCTTCGGTAGAGAATCCTTTCTTGCTGACATACACTGAATCTCCCACACCGAAGTCAACGGGGCGACGCTTCTTGTTAGCTTGAGCCTCCATCAAGGCCTGTGTGGCAATGGCATTTTGTCTTGCCAGGTCTTGGGCTCGCTGGGTTTGCTTGACGATATCCAAGGCCTTTTTCTGCTGATCGGTAGACAGGTCTAGCTCGGGTAATGGCAGAGACAAGGGATTCCGAGGGCTGGTTCCCAACGCTACTTCCAACGGAGACATTCCAATAGCCGAATGGTAGGCTATATTGTGGGCCAGGTCCAAGGCAGGCAAGTGTTCTCGCCATTTGGTCTGGTACTTGTCCACATAAAACCTCAGCTTTTGATCCAACTCCGCATTGGTGATCTCGATACTTCCTTGCGTTTGAGGGTGTCTCGAGCTTCCGTGGCGATGTTTGGTGCCCGTAAGCTTGTTGAGGGTATCGAGGAATTCGGAGATGAAAGGTCCGGCGTTATCGCTAATCCACTGGCTAGGGACTCCCAGGAAGCGGTAAAGATAATGGTAATACCGGGCGGCTAATATCTCCGCGGTATCCGTCTTGCGTCCGGCCAGGGTAGCGATTAGCTTGCTGAAACGACAGATGAAAGCCCAAACGTAGTCATAGCCTTCGTCGTCCGTTGGCATGTTCTTTCCGTCTACTACTACATGCTCCCAAACGTGCTTTGGGATCGGCAGCGGATGGAGAAGTCCGGGAGTCTTGTCGTGTCTGACCTTATTCCTTTGGCAGCTCTGGCAGTTTCGGATATACCGTTTGATGTCGCTATTACGGCCCTGCCACCAATATTCCTTCTTTAATAGGGCGACCGTCTTGTTCTGTCCTGCGTGAGCGAATGCCTTAGGTTCATGGGCTTCTCGAATCAGGGCAGTCCGTAGAAAGACGCTTCCGTCGGCGGTGGTCTCCGGAACAACTAACAATCCTTCTTTACGACCCAAGTTCTGCTTGGCGTTCTCGGCAATGATAGTATCGACCAAATCCGCTCCACAAAGTTCCGTAGAGGTCAGGGCGTTGATTGATCTCGCACCGTCGTTCGGCAGCTCTTCAATCTTTTCGGGTGGGATCAAGGCGAACGTTCTGTCTTGGATTTCTCGTGCTTTGACCGTCGGGTTGTCTACGGTTTTGCGAGAGAGAGCGTCGGCGGCCACATTATCCTTGCCTGGGCGGTAACGGAAGGTAATGTCGAAATTGGCCAAATAGTACGACCAGCGAATCTGGCGGGCGGACAGCAGTTTCTTAGTAGACCAATAGATGAGAGCTTGATGATCAGTCTGTACAAAGAACTTGGTTCCCCACAGAGCCGGTTCAAAGTCCTTCAAGGTGTTGACCACAGCCAAGAGCTCCTTATCTTGGATGGGATAGTTTTGCTCTGGGACGGACATTGTCTTGGACGAGTACCCGATCGGCTTCCATTCTCCGTCTTCTTGCTGCTGCCAGATCACACCGCCCGTGGCGTTATTGGAAGCATCGGTGTCGACTTTCACTGGGAAACCTGGCTTGTAGAATGCCAAAACTGGGGCCTCGGTAGCAAGCCTCTTGAGTGCGTCGAAGGCGGCTTTTTGCTCGGGTCCCTTCTCGAAGGCAACGTCCTTCTTCAACAGCCTGGTGAGTGGTTCGGCAACTTGGCTGGCGTGGTAACAGAAGATCCGAATGAAGTTGCAGAGGCCTAGGAATGATCGAACAGAGGACTTCGACGTCAAGTCGTCCCAATCCCAATCCAGGATGGCGGCTACTTTGGCAGGGTCCACTCGTACTCCTTTTCCGGTCTCCAGAATCATACCCAGGTAGTCGACTTCGGTCACGTTGAAAGAGGACTTCTTGATATCGCCTTGGAGTCCGGCCTTGTGAAGTCGATAGATGATCTCCTCAACGTGTTCGAAGTGTTCCTCGTCATCGCCCTCTGAATAGGCCAGAACGTCATCAGCATAGGCACTAGCAAAGAGGTCCAGTAACTCGTTGAGTTGTGCATTGAT